TTCCTGGATGTTGAGGCCGAGGTACTGCGTGACGGTTGACGACACTGTAAGAGTGAGGTCCTGCTGCAGCTCCCCTTCGAACCAAGTAGTGACGCTGTCAGTCGAGCCGATGTAGAGCAGATCGTCCACGTAGACGATGAGAAGAATATAGTCGTCACCTTTCATGAGCCGGTACATGCCCTGGTCGTGCGGAAGTTGGCGGAATCCGATGCGGATAAGTCTAGCGTGTAGGTACTGTTGCCACAGTCTCGGGGCCTGTTTAATACCGTACAGGGACTTCAGCAGCTGATAGACTTGGTTGGGCTCTCCGTTGAAGCCGTGTGGAAGTTCGACGAAGATTTCGGCGTCAACAGGTGCGTAGAGAAATGCATTGGCGACGTCAATTTGCCGCAGCTTCTTCTTCTTCATGGCGGCGATCGCGAGGAGAATTCGAAGCGAAGTGTGTCGGCTGACCGGGGCGAACGTCTCGGTGAAATCACGTCCGTGCTCTTGGTCGAAACCGCGCACGACCCAGCGCGCCTTAAACTTGTTGATGGTGCCGTCTGCCTTTGTCTTCACACGGAAAATCCATTTTCCGGTGAGTACCGTTTTGTTGCGTGCCGCGCCGATGGGAACGACTTTCCAGGTGTTCCGTTCTTCCAGCGCTTTCAGTTCCTTGTCCATGGCTTCGCGCCATTTTTCCTTATGCTCCCCCCCCAGAGCCTGCTGAACTGTGGTAGGCTCCTTAGAAATCGCTGTGCCGTGGACCGCGGTGACAAGGCCGAGTATCTGGAGGCCACTCTGTGTGTAGCAGGGAAATGTCATGTCCTCGGGATAAGCTGCTTCGTCTCCTGCTTCTGGGTCGGGTACGAAATTGGGCCCTATGCGTTCTGCTTCGTTGGTGTTGACTTTTGCAGGTGTAACGTAACCGTTGTCGGCGAAGTGGTAAAATACTTCGGCGTTGACGCTTTCGCGAGGATTTTCGTCATCCATTGGGACATCGATAGAGCAGTAAGGGAGAGGTCCGGCTTCCTCCGAGGCTTCATCCACGTTCTGCTCGTCCCAGTCAGCTTCATCTGCTGCCGAGGCGAAGGCTCGGTCACCATGAAAACCACCTGTGGGGTCCCGGTCTTCTTCCAGTTGGCAAGGTACGTCGGAAGTGTGAGTCGCTCGTAGAAAATGACATCACGTGCTGCTACTGTTTCCTTTGAGTGGACGTAAAAAATCTTCCACGCGTTGTAATTCTTTTCGATGCCCAGGTGTAGTCCCCACTGTGCACGTTGGGAGAATCGGTCGGCTCGTGCAGCTGGGGGTGAGTACTGTACCATGCAGCCGAAAACTCTTAACATTTTTGTGCTGCCCTGTTTTCCAGTCCACAGCAAGTGCGGTGATGCGTTGTTCGGGAGCGATGATGATGAGAGCAAGTTGTGCAGCATGACAGCGTGGTCCATTGCTTCGGGCCATTGGTGGTTGGGAAGCCGCATGCCATGTAGCAGCTTGCGCATGGTGTTCTGGAGAGTCTTGTTCATCCTTTCTGCTATGCCTTGCTGTTTGTGGTAGGGAAGGGAGATGAGCCGCTTGATCCCTCTCTCTGCCTAGTACTGCTTGAACCTCTGTGAGGTGTATTCTCCTCCCCCGTCAGACTGGAAGCTCTTTAGTTTAACTCCCGATTCCCGTTCTGCTACTGGGAGCCAGGAAACGAAGGCTTCTAAGGCCATGTCGTGGCTTGGAAGGTTGAGATGCCAGACATAGCGAGTGGCGGCGTCGATGAACGTGATGGTGTCGCTGTATGCTCCTTGTCCAGGTTCGCGATTGTACAGGATGTCGCTGTACACTTTCTCGAGTGGTACGTAAGCTGGAGCACTAGGGTTGTGATGAGATACAAACGACCGATGTGGTAAGTCGGCTTCGGAGCAGGTAAAGCACGTTCCGCGAGCTCGTCAAAGTTCGCTGCCGTCAGTTAGGAGTAGTGAGTCTTTGTCAAGCACGCCTGCTCTGATTGTGTTATTTAACACCGTGTTGCTTGGATGTCCCATTCGTGCATGCCAGATATCTTAGCCAGCTCGATGTCCGGGTGAGCGACAGTATAAGTCGGAGTTGGAGTAGAAGCTTGCGGTGAGGTTTGCGCTTCGATGTACTTCTCGTGGTGTTGGATTCAGTTGCTGCGCAGAAGTCGGTGGAGTGTCGTCCTCGAATGGGGCTGGTGCAGCTGAAGGACCCGCGATTGGTGCCGATGCTGTCTCTGCTGCTGCCGATGTTGTCTCTCCTGCTGCCGATGTTGTCTCTGCTACTGCCGATGTTGTCTCTGCTGCTGTCGATGTTGTCTCTGCTGCTGCCGATGTTGTCTCTGCTGCTCCCGATATTGTCTCTCCTCCTGCCGATTGAATTGTTGCTAATGCTCTTGTTCATTCTACCTCAGGGATGGTGTGCAAATGCCAGAAACCTTCGGGGCTGAAGTCAAGATCGAGATCCGGTGGGTGCATCCAGAAGGTGAAGGTGACGAATCCGTCGCTGTCGGCGGTGCCTAGATCTGGAATGAAGTCGAGGACGAACACGTTGTTCTTTAGCACGGCCTTGCCGATTTAGAGGCCTCCTTTCTCGTGGTACAGCTTGAACTCCTGTGTTGTGCTATCTACTTCGAGGTGGATACCTTTCGCCATCAGCTGACTGACACTCAGTAAGTTGTAGCCGAGTCCCTCCCCAATTAAAACCTTTGACATTTGCAGTATGACATTTGTCTCTCGTGACTAAAGTTGCACTATGCCCTGTCGTCGTGTGCGCAGGTTCTGATTGTTGGCGACGGTGATGACGACTTCGCGCTGAAGTTGGTGTTCGCGTTGAACGAAACGACCCGAGGAACACATATCCTGCCCGCAGCAAGTGTCCAAGAACCAAGTGTCTTTCCCGGACGGCTCACTTTGAGCGATGGCTGCATACGTCGGGTTCGGTTGGAGTGACTCGTGGCGAGGGGTGCTGTTGTCGAGTTGCTCTTCCGGTGAGTAGTGCGGTGGTGACTCAGTGATGCAGGAGTCAGTCAATCTTGCCATGCAACTGACAATGTTTCTTTCTCCTTGTGCAGATTGTGTTGACGATGTCGTTGAGGGCTGCAGTTGACTCGTGGGGTGCACTTGTGTGGACGCCACTTGACTGCTTGAAGGACGAAGTTGGCGTTGCGGCAGCGTTGACTGCTGTCGATTCGGGCAGGGTGTGCGAGGGTGCCCTGAAGTCTTGCAGAGATGACAGAACGGAGGTACGGGTTTTGGTTGATGCCGGTTGTTGTTGTTGTTGTAGCGCCGTTGAGTGTGAAACGCAAATTCGGGTACTGATGCTTTCTTCTTGTGCCGCTCCTCTTGCAAGTCCATGTCTTGCTGCTCATCGTGAATTTCGGCACAGAGTGCTGCTTCGGATATCTTCCCGTGAGCTCGGAGTATGGCGCGAATGGAGCGCCAATGAGGACCAAGACCGCCAATGACGACTGTGACGAAGGCGTTTTCCGATATCGACCCTCCGCATCGAAGGAGTTCGTCACGCAATTCGCGACAGCGACTGATATACGCCATCCCCTTTTTGCCCGGTTTCATTTCCACTGTTGTCAGCTGTGCCATTAATCGACACTGATTAACGCTATCTGTTGCCTGATACAGGTTCTTCATGTGGTTGTACGCGAGCTCAGCGGAGTTCCCGTATCCCCAATAAGACCGAATGTTCTGCTGTTGGTTCGGTGTGACGTTGCGCAGTAGGATTGTGTACGCCATCATGGACTGATATGTGTACTGCTGCTTGTCGTATTGCGTCCCGTGCGTTGGATATGGCAGGGACCCATCGAAGAAGCCAAGAATCTGCGCGCCCTCCATCATTAGCTCAAATTCGAACGACCAGGTGAAGAAGTCTTTTCCGTCGAATGGTCTTGATGTCTGCAGTTTTAAGACATGCGCAAACTGCGACTGAACTTGAAGTGCGTCCAATGTCTTCTCTTGCTCAGGTGAAGGCTGCTGGCGCGGCATGAAACTGACGGAACCGCGCTGGGGTTCGTACGGGGCGAAGGTAGGTTGTTGTTGCTGATTTCCTCGCGCGTACGATGAACCGTCGAGGCTCATCGGTGTCACATCGTTGTTGTTGTTGCTGTTGTTTGACTGCGCAGGTGTCCCTTATTGGTGTTGTTCGTAGATGGATATGAAGGAGAAGAACTTCTCCATCATGCTTGGGTCGAAGCCCGCAGCTTGATTTGCGGGAGTTTCGGTGGACCCAGCTGCCGGTCTTGTTGATGTGCCCTCCTCTGTCTGTAGGCCAGAGGCAGGAGGTGGAGTAGGAGTAGTACCGGGAGAGCCGTTAGAGGAGCTTCTCTCCTTCTGTGTTGCCATGCCTTCTGATGTTGTAGGTGTCTTGATAGTAGTTGAGTTTGCCCTGATAGCTCTCATACCATGTTGGCCTGAGAAAAGTCATTAGGAGCTTTGCAGGTCTAAACTCTGAGTAGGAACAGTGTAATAGCGGAAGCGTTTAATGATAAGTCTGTGAACCACCTTGCGCTGGTATATGAGGGCAAAGTAGATTGATTAATACAAGAGGATACAAGGTTTTATAAGAGTACAAGGAATATGAAGAGATACAGTTAATAACTGTTTCACTTTTGCTGTTGCGGTTCGATACAGTGACGACTCGGGCAACTGCTCAATAACGAGTCGGTTGTTTGTCCTTGCTGTCGCGTCGTACTTGTCAGGTCAAAGGTCGCTGACCTTTGACTTTCGCGTAACCTCCAGCGGTTTCTTCACTTCTCAACCTCCAAGTGTTGACTTGCCAGTGCTTCTCTGTATTTCGCTTCGTTTACGACTTAGTGCTTCGACATGACAGCGGCGCTTAAATCACTTGTTTCCAACACCCCCCCATGATTGAGCACCCCCGGGTAGCTTGTGCGGGGTGGGTGCTATGGGTGACCTCGTTTCTAGTATAACCTCGACATTTTCTGCCAAGGCGCGTACATTATGTTTTAACTTGGACGCCTAATAATTTCGTAGAATAGCGAAATGTTTTTTTCAGATATCGCGCAACGGCCACATTCCCCGTCACAATCGGCCTTGCTCTGCCGTCTCTGTGTCACTCCTTGCAACGTCGCCATCACGCTCGCAACGAAACACCCTCCTGTCGCCTTTCCTCTCTCACGTCGCCTTTCCTCTCTCACGTCGCCTTTCCTCTCTCCCGTCGCCTTTCCGCTCTCCTGTCGCCTTTCCTCTCTCCCGTCGCCTTTCCTCTCTCTCGTCGCCTTTCCTCTCTCCCGTCGCCTTCCTCTCTCCCGTCGCCTTTCCTCTCTCCCGTCGCCTTCCTCTCTCGTCGCCTTTCCTCTCTCCCGTCGACTTCCTCTCTCCCGTCGCCTTCCTCTCTCCCGTCGCCTTCCTCTCTCCCGTCGCCTTCCTCTCTCCTGTCGCCTTCCTCTCTCCCATCGCCTTTTCTCTCTCCCGTCGCCCTTCCTCTCTCCCATCGCCTTTCCTCTCTCCCATCGCCTTCCTCTCTCCCGTCGCCTTTCCTCTCTCCCGTCGCCTTCCTCTCTCTTATCGCCTTTCCTCTCTCCCGTCGCCTTCCTCTCTCCCGTTGCCTTTCCTCACTCTCGTCGCCTTCCCTCTCCCCCGTCGCCTTTCCCCTCTCTCGTCGCCCTTCCTCTCTCCTCGCCTTCCTCTCTTGTCGCCCTTCCTTTCTCCTCGCCTTCCTCTCTCGTTACCCTTCCTCTCTCCCATTGCCCTTCCTCACTCCCGTCGCCCTTCTTCTTCCGCCTCCCGTCGCCCTCGCGTCCCATCGCAATCGACTTCCCAACGCACTCCCGTCACCCTCCCTGTCGGCCTCCCATTGCTCGTACTGTCGCTCGTCCAATCGCACGTACCGTCACTCGTCCCGTCGTTCGTTACGAACGCCCTCCCGTTCCGACGCACTCGCGAAATCCCAAATCATCTCGTAGTAATATCGATCTTGCTCTCTCCCCTCCCTTTCCGTCACCCTTGCTCTCTCCCCTCCCTTTCCGTCGCCCTTGCTCTCTCCCCTCCCTTTCCGTCGCCCTTGCTCTCTCCCCTCCCTTTCCGTTGCCCTCGCTCCACCTCATCTCACCAACCCCAATGCCCCTCCCATCTCCCTACCACTGCGGATTTTGCTCACGCATCTCTCCTTTCGCGTCCTCGTTTCTGTTGCACTATCTTTCTCCTCTCTCGTCCCCTGCCATTCTCTGTTTTTCGCTTCTTGTTTTCCCCATGTTGTTATTGCCGCCCTAGCATAGACATGGTCTAAGGCATTTGTTTGCGTGAGTTGGACTTGCTTTGCGTGAGTTGGACATGCTTCACGATGTGAATTTGGCACTGGATGTAAATGACTTGCACGTCGCAAATTTTGGAGCGACGCATTTGCACATGCTTGCGACGATTTTTGCTTGAGAAGAAATGTGGAGACTCGAACAGTATCATTTGCGCCAGTAAAAAAAATACAGAACAACACTTCAACTTTCAAGTGGACCCAACTAGAAGGGGGGGTTCACTATCTTTGCTGCTGGCTTTAACGAGTAGGTGCAATTATGGCATTCCCTTCCTCGATGAATTCAATTCGAATCTGCCGAGATTCCCCCCCGCCCTCCCTCGATGAATTCATTTCGAATCTGCCGATTTTCCCCCCGCCCACCATCTCGCTATCGCCACTTGCTGGCGAATCTTGCGCTGCGAGTGGCCAGACAGGTGCCACACGGCATTTTTTAGGGGGCGATGGCGTTTGCGTCGAAACTCACATTCGCGCCTCAAAATGTGATGTTAAAGCCAACAGCTAAAATAGTGACCCCCCCCTTCTAGTTGGGTCCACTTGAAAACAGAAGTTTTTTTGGGACGTCTCGGAAAGTTGGAAGTGCTGTACGTTTTTATTTTTTCACTCCAGACAAGTCTCGATATGAACGGGGATCATTTGGAACCTGTTTACATTTCTGATTGGCGGCGAAACTCACACACAACTCACACACATACATGTGCGAATTTGGCGCAAGGTTGCAAGGCCTGTACTCACTCGAGCAGTCATCGTAACTTCACCAAAACTCACAACAATCAACAGCACAGGCACAACTCAGCGCACACACATATGCACGATCTGGGAGTGAATGTTGGCCGACGAATGGAAGAGCTGCGAGAAAAAGGGTTCCTTGGGCTTGAGGTTGAGAGAGGTAAAAAAAATAGGGAGAGAGAGAGGGGAACAACGGGATGGGAGGGGAGACCGTGAAGAACTACGGAAGGGAGGGAGAGAGGAGGCGAACGACGGGATGGGAGGGGAAAGAAAGCGAACGACGGGATGGGAGGGGAAGGAAGCGAACGACGGGATGGGAGAGGAGAGGAGGCGAACGACGGGATGGGAGGGGAGAGGAGGCGAACGACGGGATGGGAGGGGAAAGGAAGCAAACGACGGGATGGGAGGGGAAAGGAAGCGAACGACGGGATGGGAGGGGAAAGGAAGCGAACGACGCGATGGGAGGGGAAAGGAGGCGAACGACGGGATGGGAGGGGAAAGGAAGCAAACGACGGGATGGGAGGGGAAAGGAAGCGAACGACGGGATGGGAGGGGAAAGGAAGCGAACGACGGGATGGGAGGGGAAAGGAGGCGAACGACGGGATGGGAGGGGAAAGGAGGCGAACGACGGGATGGGAGGGGAAAGGAAGCGAACGACGGGATGGGAGGGGAAAGGAAGCGAACGACGGGATGGGAGGGGAAAGGAAGCGAACGACGGGATGGGAGGGGAAAAGAAGCGAACGACGGGATGGGAGGGGAGGACGTGAGCGATAGGAGATGAAGTGGACGGGATGGGAGGGGAGATTGCGCGAAGGCGATGGGAGAGAGAGCGCGAAGGCGACGGGAGAGAGAGCGCAAAGGCGACGGGAGAGAGAGCGCGGAGGCGACGGGAGAGAGAGCGCGGAGGCGACGGGAGAGAGAGCGCGTTAGGCGACGGGAGAGAGAGCGCGAAGGCGACAGGAGAGTGATAGGCGATGCGCGAGAGAGGAAGGCGACCGGGAAACGCAACGCGATGATTGCGCGAGGCTTGGAAACACAATGCGCTAATACAAGATGTATTACGCAGAAGCGCGAAGTTCATGACTACGCGCCTAGTCGGAAATTGTCGAGGTCCTAAGCTACTCAATGTTAGGCAGAAAGATGGAATGATTAGTTCTCACTCTGCTAGGTGAATAAACTAGTGACTAGAGGAAGTGGGTGATGAACCCAGGACCAGCTTGAAATTGGAGTTGGGCCTGGCGACGGAAAAGCATCGCCAGGGAACGGTCGTGCGGATGCAGCACGCACGTATGCGACAGCTGATATGAACCTCGAAAATCGTTTTGGCGGGAGCCAATTTTTTTCAGATTGGTGTGAGCCAATCAGATTACTTCAACCTGCCTAACCGTTTTGTTTGGAACAGTGTTGTATCAGCCGAACTCATCGCAGCGATTTCAAGGTGGGACGGCCTTCACTATTTTATATTTCGGTTTTAAAACGCCCACGGAAACACTCAACTTGTCTAATTAAAAAAACGCTTACACCAAAATATACCATAAATATGCACCCGGGTATTATGTAGCCCTTTCCTATGAGAAGACACCCCCCCTTTTTTTCCTGTATTTATAGATCTACCCTAGGGTGTTATGTCCGGGAGAATACCGTACGCTATCAGATAAAATATTTGTACAAAAACACTTATTACAGGCAACAGTTTCACAGTACAAGAATTGAACACGTTCTAGCAACAAAACAAAGCACAACAAAACAAATAAAAAAATAGTTTTGGAGAATAAGTTGCACCAGACTCCTCAAGCCACTTATGATGTACTGCTTTCAACTTGAACTACTTTGGTGGCAGGCAGAGCACCTTCCCCACATAGAGTGAAGATGAAGTGCATGTCCATCCTCCATTGTACTTGGCCACGAGCCCGGATTGGTTCTTGAAATACTTCCAGATTATAGTTGGACAAGTATCCCCTCTCACAACAGTGTATGAACCATAAGGGCAACTTGTTGCTCCCACCAACACAGAATTAACACAGACCTGAAAACACAAGAGACATTGAGCGAGAAGTGGGTAACCACAAAAGTGAATGACAATGCATCAATGTCGAACACTCAATTTGGACTGCAACAAAGAAACTACCATGCCAACTTACGTCTTGCCCAATAAGACGTTGTGAAGTGTCGGAAGTGCAGATAAGTCCCGGGTTGTACTGGTACAGTTGCGCAGCGCTGATTGGAGGATAGGTATTGATCATGACATCACTGCAAGTCTCCCCAGGGCTGACTGTGTAGTAGGTTGTGCAGGTCTGAACTTGCGGAGTGCCTGTTTGCACGCAGATTTGCTGGCCTGGTGTGAGAGCGTTGCACTCCAAGTCTGGGTTGGCAACATTGAGGTAGGCCTGAGTCACGCTGAAGAGGGTGGCAACAGATGCACAGGTGTCACCCTGCAATTGGGCGGGAGGGAAGAAATTGGAGAAAGAAAGGGAGGATGCTGGGTCTCAATGAACAGTAAGAAATGCCAGCTACTTCCATACAGTAGGTACGGCCAATGAAGGAACTGAGGACAGCACACAATAGCTCTAACCATGAAGATGGAGTTCAAATTTACCTGAGCAATCGTGTAGGGAACAACACAGCCAAGTGTAGCAGTAGCAGTGCCAGGATTGCGGATGACAATGGTTGTGCCAGCTGGGAAGTTACCAGCGCACTTAAGCTTCTGCAGAAGGTGAAACGAAAAATAAAAACAGCATGGAGCAGATCGGTCAGAGGTAGTGGTGAGCAACGCAGCAGAAGCGGTAAAGCGAAAGAAAACAATCCTAGCTCAAGGAAACGAAGCGTGCTTACCGGATTGAGGGCCACAAAATCCTTCTTCGAAAGCTGGTACGTAGTGCGGACTAAGCCACAGGACATGGCAACAGGCAGCACGACCTTGGTCACAAGTGAGCCCGGCACACAGGTGGGGGTGCCGTCGGTGAGAGACCCAAGGGTGTAACCCAAGGAGCAGAGGCAGGTGTAACCGCCCTTGCCGTCGTCAACACATGTGCCAAAGCCGCACGGGTTGACCACAAAGAATGTGCAAACCTTGGCTGTAACGGGGGAAGAGAACATTGGAAACGGGAAACAGGTGAGAACAGGAGATGAGAACAACGCCAGCTGTTATCATAGTAGCTGCGTGAATAAAAGCCGAAAGTTCGAGAATGTTCTATACGAACCCACAATGACAAATGTCTATACCTGAGACAAGTCAAGACATTACTTTTAACATATGCTACAACAGAAATAAAGGAGAAGCAAACCCACTGACCAAGGGCGCAGGTCTGCGTCTTGTCGAGGTTGGTAACGGCCATGAACCCAGCAGGGCATGTGCACTTGTTGCGCTGGCTCTTGTTGGTGGGAGTGGAGGTGCAGGTGCCCCCCCCGCACGGGTTGATGGGCTTGCACGGGTCAGGGGCTGTAGCCAGAAAGCAAGTCAAGAAATCGCGGAAAAAGAGTGCGAGGAATCAGAGATCAAACAGCAAGTCAGAAAGGGTGTCCAGTGACCAAAAAAAAAAATGCTGACCAATAACAAACGTAGATGACACAGGAAGGGACAAGAGAACGACCAGGGGGGAAAGAGGAAACAAGCACGGAGAGGGGATTCAACGCACTTGAAATCACGGGGTAGAGGCCGGGCATCGTGTTCATCCCACAGATCCCCACGCCGCCTGCAATAGCGATCCTCATGTAGCCGTTCTCGCCCCACGAGGGGCCCCATGAGTTGCGGATGATCCAGTAAGGCACCGCATCAATCATGTTGAAACCCACGACCACTACCAGGTGGTCAAGCATCCCCGCGCCGTAGCAGCTAGGATCGTTGTACACAAACCCGCCAGAGTATGCCTTGAAAGTATCTGACTGTGCATCTATGTAAACCACAACAGGTTGCCTTTGAACGGCGAGCGCGATTCCAAGCCACCCGGTCACGGCAATGCTTTCAAACATCGAGATGGAGAATGGGGCAGATGGCATCGAGACTGGGATTGGGGACGCGCCAGCGGGCTTGTAGATAGCGAGCATGCGGGAGTGGTGGGCGGGAACTGTGTTGGCGGTGGCGGACGTGGTGGCATCTTCAGTGGAAAGGAGGCGGCGGACGCGGAAGCGAGCAGAGATCTGCAGACAGCCCGCAAAGGAATCAAGAGTAGCTCAAGGAAACGCAACAATGTGAGGGAACGAGTGAACTAGAGGGAGATAAAGCAATGAGGCGAGTGAATAAAACACGAGGATGACTTGAGAATATGAACGAACACTCCCTTGCACAGAAAGGGGGGATATTCACCTGGTCATTCACCTTGCACGTGCCCGAGTTGAGAATGCCCGTGTAAGGATAGCTATCCGCCGTAGGCAGTCCGCCGCTGGCAGCGATATAGTTGAAGGCGTCGTCCAGCTTGCCTCCATCACATGTCCACGTGCCCTGGCAGTCAATCGCCTTCTGCTCGGATATGTTGGGCGGGGCGAGGTTGTAGGCAATGGCGTAGGCTGCTTCCATCGCCGCCACTGGGGCGAAGATCCAACACGCCGCTGAAAAACGGAAGGGTGTGGGGAAAGGATTGAGATAAATCAGTACATCGCAAAGAATATCTTTGCCAAACAGGAGACGACGGATCGGGGTGGGGACAGGCTAGACAACAAAGAAGTCACTCTAGTAGGAAAACAAGCTGCAACCTGACTTACAGCAAGCGCCTTGATTTTTGGCAGCAAGAAGGGCAGACGGAATGCGGGACGTCCAGTCAACGGACGGCGGAATGTTCCACTGTGGGCTCGCCGCGGTTCCCGTGAATCCAACGGTCATGTGACGGAAATACTGGTTGTAAAACGACCCGCTGATCTCCGCTGCGCCGTCCAATTTCGCACCACGGAAGTCCCGCTTACGCATGGTGTCCTCGTCCGGTGGAGGAGGCGGAGGGGTGACGGAGCTTTGGAACGGCGAGCACGAAGGGTATGTAACAGTAACACCACCCACGCGAACCGACAGGGTAACATTGTACATCCCGTCGTAACAGATGCAAGCAGGGGTGCGGGACGGCGTGGAGAGTGTGCAATAACCGAGGCCACCGCAAGCACCCGCGGGAAGAGCGGCTCCGCAAAACGCCACGCATTCAATCGCTCTGCGCTGTGCGCCGACGCTGCAACCAGTCCCAGCGGTAGCGCTTCCCCCACTGCTCCCCGCAAACTTCTTGGGATCTTTCTTGTTGCTCTTGCCCTTTCCATTACCAAAATGTTCCGAAACATTCCAATTTCCGCCCAGAAAACAATTTTCCCTCGAGCTGCTGGTCTTCGACGCGCCGAACTGGGCGAGGTTTGCCTGAGCGAAACCGCCTTCTAGAGTCGACGGGCAGAAATTCGCAGACTGCGCGGTGTAGCTAACCGGCAGGTTGTTGAAATAATTTCCGCTCAGATCGTAAGTTGCCTGAGCGGTGTTTGCGAGCGAAGCAGAGGCGAAGGAAGAAAGCGGAGTTCCACTGAACTGGTTGTTGCTAACGTCACTGTCGGAAGCAAAACAAGACAACGGAAAAGCAGTTAAGCCAAGGGGTCAGAATGAGAAGCGACGGGGCGATATTAAATAGGAATGAGAAGCAGGGAACGGAAGCGTTAACGTAGAAGATCCGAGCGCGAAAGAACAGATCAGCTGTGACGCAAAGCGTCGCCCGAATAGTACCCCTAAAAATCGTGAAGAACGGCTAAGAGTGACAAGTTAGAAGAGCAAGACGTACAGGAAGACGAGGCCGGAAAAAGTTCCGAAAGCGGCGGGGAGGCTCCCATAAAACTGATTTCGGCTTATGTCCCTGTCATGCAAAGACGATATTTGCATGTGGAAGATAGCGAAATCAGGTCAACGGACAGAATCTCGATAGCATCCAAATTACTGCAAAAAGAATCGAGTGCAACGAAAAAAAAAAGGATTAGTTACTTACAGTGCGACGAGAGACTGCAGGCCGACGATACCCTCAGGAAAAAATCCGGAAAACTTATTGTCTCCCAGAAGCCTGAATGTAAGTCATTGTTCAACAGAAACCGGAAAAAGGAACCAAAGCTGAGCAGGATGAAGATGAATGTGATGAAATTGAAGCTCAAAGACCTGTAGAAAACAACTGTAAAGACAACACGATGAACGACTGAGAGAAAAGAGTGTGAAGTGTATTACAGTGACTGGAGTTGGGAAAGGTCGAGGAGAGACGGTGGCAAGACTCCAGTGAAGCCATTAGATCCGAGGGCTCTGCATCGGAAAAACAATCGAGCATGTATAGTAGCGAGCTTTGTCAGCACCAGAAGCATGAACCGTTGACTGAAAGGAATCTCATAAACAGCAGGCGGAAACAAAACAGACCGACGATGATCGGATCCGCAAAGGACGACGTACAGAGTGGTGAGAGCAGTGAGCCTACTGAAGACGTTGGGTATTGCTCCGGTCAGGCTGTTTGAACTTACATCCCTGAACGGAACAAGAAGAGAATTTGTTACGACAAATACTAGGTTGGCCGAACGAAATATTGGATACAGAAGCTAGCTGTGAGCTAGGTGAGTATTGACGACGCAGGTAAATGTGCCGGCATGCTTACAATATCCGCAGGTTGACCAGAGAGGCTATGCTGCTTGGGAGTTCACCAGTCAAGACGTTTCCGCTAAGCGACCTGTCGAATGGGAGAATACAGAAGAAATTAGCCAAAGCCGACATCAGATGCACACAGACCCTGTGCAGGCCATGGGAGAAACCAGCCGCATGGCAAGAATAATGTGTGCGAGACGATGGAACTGCAGCAGGAAATAAAAAGGATAAGGCGAGGAAGGTCGGCAGGGGTGACGGTGAGAAGAGAGGCTATATCAGGAATATCCAGGGAAGATGAGAGAACGGCCACGTGGTCGCAGTGAAAGGTAGAAAATGAAGGAATCTTATGCTTACATATTCGTCAGCGCGGTCAAGAATCCGATGTCAGCAGGGATATTGCCAACAATAAGGGTGTGGTCCAGCGACCTGCGGCACGTCAGCAGATAAGAAAGTATGAGAAACTGAGGAGCGGACCACGGCACGCGATCAATGAAAACAGGAAAAAAAACGCGGTACGGACCACGCGGACGAAACAAAAAAAATCGGACATTTCCCTCCGTCCCTGGTTTACCCACCTCCCTTTCTCCGCTCCCCCATGCCTAAGCTTTCCCCCCCCCGCGCCTGCCCCATCTTCCCTTCAGCCCAAAAAACAAATTCGTGGGGACTTTCTGCTTTCTTTCCGAATCGCGCATACAGATTCTGAAGAGCCGTTAGCTGAGTCACGGCGGCCGGAATCGAAGCTCCCCGGAGCTCAGTTCGTCCTGGGAACTCTCTGGAAGGAAACACAAAACAAAACATTTGCACAAGGAGGAGGGGCAGCGCACGCAGATGGATGAGGGGAAGCGGCAGCGAGAAATACGATGTGTAAACACACGAATTATGGAAAGGAGCAACGAGGCGTTGAAGAAAGAAACGAGACAACGTACAGAGAAATGACCTCGCCAAGCGAGTTGCAAGTGAGACCGAGCCATTGCGAACAGTCTGCTGCAACAAACCACGTCTGGCTCAGCCGTAGGGCCGGACCCCACGCGTCCAAAATAGCTTGAAGAGCAGGTTCTGCAAGCACGAACAGCAATGCATTCCGGAAGAGTCGTAGGAGAAACGTAATGCTGAGCCAAGAGATTCTAAACACAAACGCCGTGATGAGATCCTGAAGTGAACGGCGCCGAGATTCTTACTCTGAGAGTCTGCGACCGCCTGTGCTTTGACGGGAGGCGAGAACACGACGAGGAAGCTAAGCGCGAGAACCAAAGCTCTAAGTATGTCGGGATGAAACGGATGTCTTCTCTGGAACAGCCTCATTGTGCTTCTATGAAGGACTCAGTATGCTGGTTGCTGGATCACTTCGCCCGCTTCCTGATAAAACCGAAGAGAAATAGAATCGGTAGAAATGGCTCAGGAGCTAAGAATAGACCGACAAGGCAATTCCACACAAAGCGACATCTCACATATCTGCTACAGCTAATGTGATACGTATGAGGATTTCGGATCGCTCAGTCCACTGACTATCGAGCAAAATGAGAGATGAAACTAAATGTGTGCGTTCTGTCAGTTGGAACAATCACCTACACGAGAAGGTGACTTACCAAGGATCGCAACGAGAAGTCACTAAACAAAAACCTGACGTTTCGGAAACTAGGTTAACGTTTCGGAAATTACGTGCGGTGCCCTGATAAGCAACCATACGTTCTAGACTAGGGTTCCTCAGCTATCAACATCAGCATTATGGTAGCATTGAAGCGAAGGGAGCTGGAGAGGGACGGAGGAGAAGAGGGGAAAACCGCGTTTGGTCATCTACTGTGGGTGCTGCCTCTGGCAGGGTGCAAAATGCGTCATTATTTCTTGCCGTGGGATGGGATCAGGGAACACAAAGTCAGGGCTCGAGCGGAGGGGAAAGAGCAGATGAGCTCCACTGTAGCCGTAGACAGACGACATGGACGCTGAAGTGGGGGAGACGAAGGGCTCTCAGGACTACATTTTGGTGTACAGTTCCATCATTTTCCTTCACGGAAAGCCACTCTAACATCGGGGCAATATGAATTTCTGTGGCTGGGTGTAGACTACATGAATTGTAGCTGACACATTTCTCAGTAAATGGTGGGTCGTTCACTCACGACAGCTACCTGCACCTTCATAGATAATCACGTAAAAGGTGAAGCATAGTGAACTACCACTTCGGGCAGGAAGCTCCAAACTAATATTGTGACATCGAGTGAAGGCGGTTGGTGCGCGGGACTTCCCTTTGAATGGCAAGGGTTTGGTCACGACTCACGTCAGGTGCTTCAGGTTGTAGAAACATTGTGGGGGCCCCGCTAGGGTTTGGTTGCCTCGCTGCCTCCTTTGGGCTGGTCGCTTGCTCGTGCTGATAAGGACTGAATTCAGCAGGAGAAGGGTCGTTGGTTCTAGGGCCGAACAAACGCGTTCGGCCAATCAGCGTCCTCGAAACCAAGTCATGTCCATGGCAGACCCACAGACTCTAGGCGAACAAGACATTCCTCCGCACCACACCTACTCAACTCACTCTGCTGTACCTCACACAATGAATCACCCCAAAAGGCAAAACAAACCTTGTTTCGTGTTGCCATCTGATCAGAAGGGCAACCTCGTGTCGACTCACGTCACGAACGCACTAGCGCACTGAACGAATCATGAAACTATCACTATTTCAGAGGGACACCCAGGGAGGACAAGTCAGGGGATGAGTAGACCAAAAATGTGTTCTAGAACCACATGGCAAATGGGAGTGAGGGGTCGCAAAGGGGGCACGTGATGACATAACAGACAAATCCCGCAACAAAACGGAGGGGGTGTGCAGCGTTGGCATGGTTGTATGGTGGGCCTTCTTGTTGTGGTTTGTTCTTCTCAGTGCTCATCCACACACTTCCAGTTTTCCAAGGCCGATTCTGACACAGAAAATGTGCTGCCTAGCAGGGTCCAGACAGGATCCACGGCAGCGGGCAGCTGCCGAAAGATTTTTCCAGTTGTCGAGAATCAGAATCCGCCAATCCTGCCTGCTGCACGAGGCGCAGGTTGGTGATTTGGTCCATTGTCCAAATTTGCCTGGTTTCATTATATGCAAAAGTACAGTGGTTGCAGCTACCTTAAAACAAATGCATGATTACAAGCACAAGTACACTTCCATGTCTGCTATTGAAAACATGTCCCAGCAAATGCATCTGCTCCAACACCATGGAGCAGCCACAACCCGTGTCCAACAGTCCAATATTCTCTTCTTGATTTGCTCCCTTGTTGAGCTGCATGTGGAATGGAAGTCAACGGTTTTGCGCACAGCACAACCATCAAAGCGCCATCCATGACGCAACGCAACAACAGCAGCACCATTGGCCAGGGAGCAACAAAATACTCTATCAATTTAATATACGCAAGACCACTACGCCCACCTCCCCCCTCTTCCTATACATATCCAACACCTGCTGCAACGACAGACTTGCTTATCACCTTGTGCCATCACCAGCTGCTTCAGAGGACTATTGAGTCGACTCAAAAGTCATCCCATGTTCTGCACCCTAAGCTCACCCCCCTCAAACCCCCCCCCCCCCCCCCCCCCCCCCCCGCCCCCCCCCCTCCATCCAACAGCTGCTTCTGAGGACTTTTTAATCAACTGAAAAATCATCCCATGTTCTGCACCCTATGCCCACCTCCCCCCCTTCTTTCTATGCATATCCAACACCTGCTGCAACGACACAGGCACCCACATGTGCGTATCATCCTGTGCCATCAGCAGCTGCTTCGGCGAGTCTATCACCAGGCTGATCGTGCCAAACAAAAACACCGGCATGCCCTCATGCGTGCGGCCGTCCTGGTTCCAAGTAGCTGCTGCTTCAACAGTTCATACTCCATACGTGGCCAAACAACGGTAGATATATTAAATGTTCTGCGTCCCTAAGCCCACCTCCCCCCCTTCTTCCTATGCATATCCAACACCTGCTCCAACGACACAGGTACCCACACGTGCTTATCATCCTGTGCCATCAGCAGCTGCTTCGGCGAATCTATCACCAGGCTGATCGTGCCAAACCAAAACACCGGCATGCCCTCGTGCGTGCGCCCGGGTTTCGGCAGGAATTTCACGTCGTTCTGCAACGCAAATCGCTCCACGACCTCTCGTAGAGAAAGCTCCTTTTCATCCTCCTGATGCACCATCCCCGTCCTCCCGCCTCCAGCCCCTCTCCCTCCTGTCAACGTGCTACCACTGGTTGCACCAGCACCACCCATCCCACCACCCCCACCAACCCCACCTGCTGCAATACCAGGTCCCCCAGCAGCAGCACTGCCTGCACCAGTTGCACCCCTCCCTGCCCCTGCCCCATCTGCAAACGCCTGCTGCTCCGAAACTCTAAAGTAAGAGACGTTCTCCTTCACGCCGGGTTGCAGAACCGGCATCCCCTCTACAGCCTGATTCATCATGTCTAAAGCAACGTTCAACTGCTGCCGCACCCTTTCCGAGCTTAAAAGCTCGGCGGGAAAAAGCGCCTTCCATCCCAGATACCACCGGGTGACTTCATCGAAATTAGGGTTTGCACACAGCCAATGGTAAAGCACCTGGTGCCACTGCGGGAAGAATGCGGTGTCCAGCAAGGCGATGAGGTGGCGCGTGGGGACCACACCCGCCCACGACATGGCCCAATGAAACGGCTCCAGCTGCTGCTGCTGCGGATTCACTAAGAACTCTGTTTGCAGTAAGTGTATAAGCTTCGGGACAATGGATCGACTCACTAGAGTGTCCCAGCTAGCCGCGTCAAATACGGATTTCCACGGAGCGAGCATTGCAAGAGCAGACGAGTCGGATGGGTGCCAGGCGGTGAGGGCAGACCCGAGCCTGAAGCGTATGGTTGGGTAGAGCGTCTCGAGCTGCGAGCCTAGGTACGGCAGCCACGGGTGCAGCCACTGGTGGACAGGTACGGTTTCCAGCCTCGGGTCCCAAGCCTCCACTGTCGCTGCCAGCTTCGGGAACACCAGGTGCGCGAGGATCGTTCTCAGGAGGACAGATGGCAGCACCGGAGCGCGCCACGTGTCGAGGAAGTTCAGGAGAGGCTCGGGCTCCCGAGGCTCCCAGAGATTGACCACTGCGGATCTGACAGCTGGCAGCACAAGATCAGCGACGAGGCGGGCGTATGGGTCCATGTCAGCAGGCGCCCCTCCCACCCCTCCTGCGGCTGCTCCCGGCTCTGCCACCGAATCAGCCAGTGCCACGTCAGCAAAAATCGCCCCACTCTCTTCGTCGTTCTCACCTCCTCCTCCCTTCGCTCCTCCTCTTCCTCCTACGTCTCGTGCGAGCACGGAACGCCAGGAGGACAGCACAGCGTGACCGTGGGAGGGGTGAGCAAGAGGATTCCAGGTGCGGAAAAGCGGAGCAAGACGGGGAAGCACAAACCCCAACGCCACCGCCGAGACATTATACATCTTGAACTCCTCGGGATGCTGCTCCCTCAGCCTCCGCAGCGTGGCCAATGGCGTGGCGACAGATGTCGCAATCGCGTGCGAGTCCTGCGCGAGGGCTTCGGCCGACGCCGTCGATGGCGGCGGCAGCGGCGGAGGGGCAGACGACAAAACATTTTCCAACACGCCGACGATTCTTTGGAGGTCGATCAGCTGCTGCGCCTGCTGCTGCATGCGCTGCTGCGTGCGGTCGCGCTCCTGCTTGAGAGCGGTGAGCGAGTCTCGTTGGAACCTTAGGCGTTTGTCGATGGTTTGAATGTCTGCCTCTGCTAGATCTACCACCAGTCGCAGGTTGTGCTGCAGCTCCGGCATCGGCGTGTCGTCCTCCTGAAGCTTCTGCTCCTCGTTCAACCGGTCCATGTTCGTCAACACACGGACCTGCGGGGACAGAGAGAGGGGAGAGCATATCAGACACAAGAGTGAGGTTGTGCTGCAGCTCCGGCATGGGCGTGTCATCCTCCTGAAGCTTCTGCTCCTCGTTTAAACGGTCCATATTCGTCAACACGCGGACCTGGGCAGCGAACAGAGAGAGTGAAAAGAATAACAGACACGAGGGTGAGGTTGTGGTGCAGCTGGGGGGGCACGTCACACAGAGATAGACGAGCATACACGACAGGTGACAGGGTTTGTGCTGCAGCTCGGGCATGGGCGTGTCATCATCTTGAAATTTCTGCTCCTCGTTCAACTGGTCCTTATTCGTCAACACACCGACCATTCGCAACAAAAACGGCATACCTGGGCTCCGCACGTGTCCAGGATCGTCTGAGTCACCTCCCGCCCCTCCGCCTGCTTCTCTCATAAGAGACTTATCTCAACTCGACTACAAAAAGCCAGTCGCAACAACAGCAACCCACCTGTGCTCCGCGCATGTCCAACAGTCTGAGTCACTTCTCTCCCCTCCGCATGCTTCTCATATTATAATCTTATTGTCAAGTCGACCACAAAAGCCAGTCGCAACAACTGCAACCCACCTGTGCTCCACGCATGTCCAGGATCGTCTGAGTCACCTCCCGCCCCTCCGCCTGCTTCTCTTCCAGCAGCTCAGCCGCTGTCTTATACTCCTTCCTCCTCCCAGCAAATTTCTTCTTCCATAGCTTCTCTCTCCCTCTCTTTTCCACAACCTCCAAAGCCACTCCCCCCTCCCCTTCCCCTCCCAACACCTCCCCGTCTTTCCCGGACGGCGGGGGTGGTAACCCGACTTCTTTCTCCTTGAAGTCGTTAAAACCCATACCCATGTTCTTCGGGCGAAGCTTCGCTTCTATCGGCTTCGCTATACCCTGCTGGTTCTTACCCAGCCCGCCTCCCTTGTACCCCATCTTCTCTAAAAGCTTCATCCCTATTCCTTTAGTGTGCTTCTCGAACGTTCCAACCCCATGAGCAGCACCCTTCCCTCCCCCTCCCCCACCTCCAGAGCCGAAAAGCCCGCCAGCAACCCCTTTATTCGCCTTCTGCTGCGCGAAAAACGACGCCTCTTGCTTCTCCTGCTTCGCTCGCTCCCTCTCCATCTCCCTCCTCTGCTCTGCTCGCTCCCTTAGCCGCTGGCCGAAAGCAGTCTTGGCTAAGTGATCCTCTTCCTCCTCCTCCTCCTCCTCTCCTTGTGCCTCCCCCCTGGCTCCCAAACCTGGCCTTTCAGGTTCGGAACCCCCGGACGTGAATCCCAAGCCTGCTCCACCAAACCCGAGGCCCGTCCGACCCAATCCGCTCCGATCCTCATCCTCTGCCGGCTCCTGCGGCTTGGCTCCCAATCCGGGCCTTTCCTCTACAGCATCCCGATCCAGGTTCGGATTTACTGTACCTTTCGACACGAAATTAACGGGTTTCGTAAAATCGCCTTTTCCCATCAGATCGTCTTTTCCGCGACGTTTCTTCCTCCGTCTCTTACCCCCACCGCCGAATCCCTCGTCGTCGTCGTCATCTTCGTCATCAGATGCTTCGTTGAAGACACCGTAAAGGACGTCGTCGCGGGTCTGCTGACGGCCCTGACGGCGCGACGAGGAGAAAAACTCTCCGTTGATAAACTGGCCGTCGTCGAAATCTCCGTCCAGGCTGAACCGCATCCGCTGCTCTCCGTCACCGTCAACGTCCATGATCGAATGCCTTGGAACGAAAGCGCTTAATGGCCGCAATAGATACCTTTGATTCGATAAGCTCCAAACAGCTACACGAAACCTTTTTTAGGGCAAAGGAGCAACGGACTCCTGGTGATGTAAGGCGATCTGCGCATACAGAAAGCTGATCTCCTGTGTTATGGCGGTCACACAGACGATGTTGGAGACGATCATACGAGATGCAGCAGAACTTCACCTGCAAGCGGTTCCGTAAGGTTCTTTACGTTGTACGATGGTGAATCAACATCAAGAACGGTTCCAGAAGTTCGAGAGCACGAAAATATGCCCTTGGGATGTTCGGTTGTACGCGCTTGCTGTCCTCGTTGCAATGGCATCGACACAGCACAGCGTAGTCTTTCTTAGTGTAGTGGGTTTTACCACGTGTACATTCGCGAAGAAGCAATGGTAGATAGAGATGGTACAAAGCATAGGTAATAAATGCAGTCCCCAAATCAAACATACTTACAGTATATAGCTAATATTATTCATATTCTAAATTATACATTACATATTATTTCTATTTTTTGTATACTACAGATATACTATATTCTTCTTCATACGCCTCACCCTCCTCATCTTCTTCATTCCCATCCCCTTTCATTTCATATTCTTCATCCTCTTGGCACTTCCTCGTCACCCTCTTCATCCCCGTTAGTCTTGCCTTCTTCAACGTATACGTTCCCTTCTCCATCCTCACCATCCATTTCATCATCATCCACTTCTCCTTAAGCTCCTAGTTGGCCATCCTTACCTCCACCCTGCCATCCTTATCTCCACCCTCCTATAAAAGCTTTCTCGTCTTCATCATCCTCTTCATCCTCACTTGCCATCCCCGCCATCAAATCTAAGCACGCATCATACTCTCCATTATTCTCATCATCCGTCCACTCATCCTCCTCGTCCTCTTCCTCATCCTCCCTCTTCTTGATAGCCCCACCTCTACAAATTCTCTTGGCAATCTCCTTTGAAAGAAGAGGGCATGCGCAAATCGAACACTTGCGCAGTGTTAGCATTTCCTGGGAAGGTCCCGGCACCCAAACCAGTTTCTCACAGTAGCTCACATCCAACTTCTTCAGCTGGGGCAGCTTCAGAAAGGTTCTGGGCAGGCTAGAAAGGTTAAACAGCCCCAAAAGCACCAAAGTCTGGAGAGACGAGAGCTTGTGGATATTATCGGGCAGGGATGGAATTCCCAGGTTGGCCATTGCACAGTGCTGCAGCCTTGACAAATTGGTAAACGAAGCTGGAAGCTTGACCAGCCTGAAACACCTGATTAATCTCAACGTCTCCAGTTGCTCCAGCTGCCCGAGCGACTTGGGCAGGGCAGAAAAATCATCGAGCTCCACCAATTCGAGGACCCGCAAGCGGGAAAGCGATCCAACGTTTTTTGGCAGCTCTTTCAGCCTCCTGCAGTGTAAGATTCGGAGCACTTGCAGGTTTAAAAGGCCGGATATGGAGTCGGGGAGCGAGGCCAGTTTCTCCATACACAGAATCTCGAGGCTTGTCAGCGACGTGAGGTGACCAAGAGACGGTCCTAAGGATTTGAATCGGAAACCCTTAGCAGTTAAACTTTGCAGGGATGGAAGCGGCACTCGGCTTTCATTCCCCATAAGAGTGTTGCTGCTGCTGACGTTCGCAACCCTGCGCCTGCTGCTTGCCCTATCGGTGCTGCGCCTGGCCCTAGAGGTGCTGCTGCTGGCCCTAGCGGTGCTGCTGCTGGCCCTAGCGGTGCTGCTGCTGCTGCGGTTATTCTCATCCCCTAGCAAAGTGCAGGCCTTGAAACACATCCGCACGTCTAGCACCTGCAATCGCGGCAGCTCAACCAGCGACCGAGGGATGCAATCCAAGCGCTGTAGCTTCACGAGCCTCAGCTCCTGGAGTGATCCCAGCCGTCCAATATCCTCAGGCAGTGATTCTACCCAGGGGCAGTTTACCAGTACCAGGCTGGTGAGGGAGAGAAGGCCGGAGACAGAGGCAGGAAGGCCAGAGAGGTTACAGATGTCACGGAGAGACAATGCCTTCAGTTTCCCCAAGCGGCCCAACCCCTCGGGCAATTTGCCTTTGAAGCGGCTTGCCCTCAGGATGCTCAGGTATTCGAGAGAGGACAGGCCGGAGAGGGAAGGAGGGAGGCGGGTGAGGGATCTGCAGTGGAGAATATCTAACTTGCGCAGATTCGGCAGCCCGTTTCCCATGCTGCTTGGTAGTGAGGCGAGCCGCCAGCAATCCATCAGAAGTAGATGCTCAAGGGATAATAATGTGGATAAAGACTCGGGCAGCTGCCGCAGCAGATGACACTCCATGATTCTTAGATCTTGAAGATTTGTCAGCTGCCCCAAAGACTCGGGCAGGAATGTGAGTTTTCGAAGGTCATTCAGGTGGAGAGACTTTAGAGCGTCCAGCTGCCCCAATTCCTCGGGCAGAGAAGTCAGATTTCGGAAACCTTTGAGGGAAAGCTTTTGGAGCCAATCGGCCAGAGCCATGGAATCAGGCAGGCTTGTAACGTTCGCAGCAGCCAACGAGAATGTCTGAAGCTCGGGCAAACTCCAGATTTCAGCAGGCAGCTCGGAAAGCTCGGGGAGGCGAAGATTTAGATCCGTGAGGGAAGGCAGACTGAGGAGACACCGAGGCAGAGCCGAAATGCCGAAACAGTTTTTCATGGTAATCCGCTTCAACCGCTGCAGCTGCCCCAGAGAATCGGGCAGGCTGGGCGTTAGACCAATATCCTCCAGGTGTAGAGTTTCGAGAGCGTCAAGCTGCCCGAAATTCTCGGGCAGCGGATAAACGACTGCGGACTCTCGAATCTCCAGAACCTCCAGGGATGAAAGATCGGGAAGTGAATCGGGCAGCAGAAGCATAAAGCCACTAATGGAAAGACGGTGTAGATTCGCAAGTTTCCCAATAGATTCCGGGATTGGCATCAGCGAAGCGCAGTCTTTAAGCTCCAGCGATTCCAGAGATGAAAGTTTTTTCAGATTTTCGGGAAGATCGTTAAGCTTGGGCAAGCGAAGCACCAGGTGTCGGAGTGACTGTAACGAAGTGAATGTATCGGGAAGGATCTCGACTTGTAGGGCGATGAGGTGGAGTTTCGTGAGGGAAGCGAGGCGGCTGATAGAAGGAGGGATGGCGGTGAGATGATCCGGACAGTGCAGATGAAGGTCCTGGAGACGAGTGCAGTTGGTGAAAAGGCGGGAAAGTCCGTGCTCGGTGAAAACTCCGCCGCTGTCGGATTGACCGAACGAGTCTGGCATGTAGAAAGCGACGTGAAAATCGGTGAGATCGCGACACGTGTCGGCGATGCAGCAGAGGAGGTCATCAGAAACGGCGCGCAGGCTGCCAGCGGGGAGGACGACCTTTTTTATGTTGACGAACCGCGAAAGCTGCGTACGTAGCTTATGAGGGCCCACGAAACGGTCCGCGTTTAAGCGGACGGTGGATCGTAAGCGACACGCGACGTCGTGCCATCGCTGACAGACGCTAGCGTAAGTAAACTGACCGTCGGATCGAATGAGCAGAGTGAATATCTTCAAAAGTAGGTCGTCAGAAAGCCGTTGGATTGGCGATCCAACCGGCATTTTGAGCAGCAGAAGGTGGAAAAGCTTAACTGGCTCTTGCTAAGTCTGGTTTCTATCTTAGGTCAAGCTCACACTAAAGATAGAAGTCACAGTTAGTTGTTTTCAGCAGTGAATGCTAAGCAACCACAAGAGAAACCTGAGCATGGCCTGTTTCGGAGAGGCCTACGACCCGAAATCTAAGGACATCGAAGATAGCTGTCTGAAGAATAGCTATCGAAGGAGAGCTGTTCGAAGAATAGCTATCGAAGGAGAGCAGTTGAAAGAATAGCTATCAAAGGGGAGCTGTCCGAAGAATAGCTGTCAAATGAGAGCTGTGTGAAGAACAGCTACCGAATGAGAGAGAGCAGAGTGAATACTTTCGAGAGTAGGTCGTCAGAAAGCCATTAGATTGGCGATCTAACCGGCATCCTGAGCAGCAGGAGGTGGGAAAAAATAGCCGGTTTTTATACTTCGGTTGATGCTTCGAGACCAAACCCATAGTTGTCCTGCCTGACTCAGCGCGTCCCGAAAGCGTGTCCCGAAAGGGTGGTGTGACTGACGTGGTCTAGAAGATTCATATTCCTGGTCGGCCTGGTCTGCGAGACCCATACATCCCTGGTCCGAAATTCTGGTCCGACGGACAGACTTCCCAGTATCCCGGTACGGCATCGCTTCGTTGCTAAGAAGTTCGGGGCAACATAAAGTAACGAAATAAACTTTCTGGTATGAGTTGAACCAACAGAGTGCAAGGAAATAGTTATTAATGAGATTGTGATCACGGAAGCTGTCGGTACAATGAAAGCCACGGGCATTCATAAAGGGGTTCCTATCAAAGCGAGGACCTCGGAACATCCCCATTAAGGGATCTCGACAGAAGACCTCTACACCCGGGGGGGGGGGGGGGGATTCTTTGCCGGGAGTTTACAGTAAACTGTAGCACCCAAATAGTATGTACTGTTTGACAATAATCTCCTCGCCCCCCCCCCCCCCCCCCCCCCCCCCCAACCCCCTGCTACCACACTTGTATACTACGACTTTCTGACCCTCCTTATTATGAGCACAACTGCTCTCTTCCGCCTAGTTTTCCTGGTCTTCCTCATCCTCCTCATCCTCTTCTCCATCCTCACCATCCCCTTCCTCATCATTCACTTCTCCATAAGCTTCTAATTGGCCATCCTCCTCTCCATCCTCCTCTCCACCCTCCCCTCCATCCTCCCCTCCATCCTCCTCGTCATCCTCCTCTCCATCCTCCTCTTCATCTTCCTCGTCCTCATCATCCTCCCCCATAAAAGCTTCCTCGTCTTCACCATCCTCTTCATCCTCACTACTCTCCATCCCCTCCATCAAATCCAAGCACGCCTCATACTCTCCGTTTTCCTCCTCGTCCGTCCACTCATCCTCCTCATCCTCTTCCTCATCCTCCCCATCCGCCCCACCATCCCCCTCCTCCCTCTTATTGACAGCCCCCCCTTTGCAGATTCTCTTGGCAATTTTCCTTGAAAGAAGAGGGCATGCGCGAATCGAACACTTGCGCAGCATCGGCATTTCCCGGGAAGATCCAGCTTCTTCCCGCTGGGGCAACTTCCAAACCAGCTTCTCACAGTAGCTCACATCCAGCTTCTTCAGCTGGGGCAGCTGCAGAAAAGTTCCGGGCAGCTTGGAAAGGTTAAACAGCCCCAAAAGCACCAAGGTCTGGAGAGAGGAGAGCCTGTGGATGTCTTTTGGCAGAGATGGAAATCCCACATTAGCAAAAACACAATGCTGCAGCTTTGACAGGCTGGAAAACGACGCTGGAAGCTTGACTAGCCTGGGACACCTGATGATTTTCAACGTCTCCAGCTGCCCCAGCTGCCCTAGCGACTCGGGCAGGCGAACCAAATCATCGACCTCCACCAATTCGAAGACTTGCAAGCGAGAAAGCAAACCAAGGTCCTTTGGTAGCGCTTTCAGCCTCCTGCATCGGAAGATTCGGAGCACTTGCAGATTCGAAAGCCCGATATGGAGTCAGGGAGTGAGACCAGTTTCTCCATAAACAGAACCTCCAGGCTTGACAGAGATGACAGACGGTTGAGGGAAGATCTTTAACGTTCAAGCTCTGAAGGTACGGAAGAATCACTTTGCTGACGTTCCTTCTCAAATTGTTGCTGCTGCTGGTGCTCGTAGCCCCGCGGCTGCTGCTGCTGCTGCTGCGGTAGTCCAAGGTCCTGCTAGCCGCCGTTTCATCCCCTAGCAGAGCGAGTGCTTTGAAACACATCCGCACCTCCAGCACCCGCAACTGTGGCAGCTCCACCAGCGATCGCGGGATGCAATCCAAGCGGTACAGCTTCGAGAGCCTGAGCTCCTGAAGTGCTCCCAGCCGTCCGATGTCCCCAGGCAGCGATTCTACCTCCGGGCAGTTTATCAGCACCAGGCTGGTGAGGGAAAGAAGGCCGGAGACAGAGGCAGGAAGGCCAGAGAGGTGACGCATGTCGCGGAGTGACAACTGCTTCAGTTTCCCCAAGCTGCCCAGCCCCTCTGGCAATTTGCCTCTGAACCGCGTTGCTTGTTGGATGCTCAGTAATTCGAGGGAGGAAAGGCCGGAGATGGAAGGAGGGAGACGGGTGAGGGCTCGGCAGTCAAGTAGCTCTAACCTGCGCAGATTCGGCAGCCCGTTTCCCATGCTGTTTGGTATTGTAGTGAGTCGCCAGCAATCCAACAGAAGCAGGTCCTCAAGAGATAATAACAAGGATAAGGTTTCGGGCAGCTGCAGCAGTTGATGGCACTCCATGATTCTTAAATCTTGAAGATTTGTCAGCTGCCCGAAGGACTCGGGCAGGCAGGTGAGCTCTCGAAGGTCAATCAGGTGGAGAGACTTCAGAGCGGCCAGCTGCCCGAATTCCTCGGGCAGAGAAGTCAGATTTCGGAGGATCTTGAGAGAAAGCTTTTCAAGCGAAGAGGACATATTGATGGAAGTAGGCAGGCTTCTAACATTCACAGCAGCCAACGAGAAAGTCTGAAGCTCCGAGAACCTCCAGACTTCAGCAGGAAGCGCCGAAAGCTCGGGAAGGAGTAGATATAGTTCCGTGAGGGAAGGCAGGCGGAGGAGACAACGGGGCAGAGTTGAAATACTGAAACAGTTCTTCATCGTAATCCGCTTCAACCGGTGCAGCTGCCCGAAAGTCTGGGGCAGGCTGGGCGTTTTTTCAATATCCTCCAGGTGTAGAGTTTCGAGCGCGTGAAGCTGCCCGAAGTTCCGGGGCAGCGGATAAACGAATGCACACTTTCGAATCTCCAGGAACTCCAGGGATGAGAGATTGGGAAGCGAATTGGGCAGCTGAAGCAACAAGAAGCCGACGATGGAAAGACGGTGTAGACTCGCAAGTTTCCCAAGGGATTCCGGGATTGGCATCAGCGAAAGGCAGTCTTTCAGCTCCAGCGACTCCAGATTAGTAAGACTTCCGAGATTCTGGGGAAGGTCGTTCAGCTTGGGCAAGCGAAGCACCAGGTGTCGGAGTGATTGTAACGAAGTGATTGTATCGGGAAGGATCTCGACCTCGTAGGCGGCGAGGTGGAGTTTCGTGAGGGAAGCGAGGCAGCTGATAGAAGGAGGAATGGCGGTGAGATGTTCCGGACAGTGCAGATGAAGAACCTCCAAACGAGTGCAGCCCGCGAAAAGGCGGGAAAGTCCGTGCTCGGTGAAAACTCCGCTGGTGTCAGATCGGCCGAATGAGTCTGGCATGTAGAAAGCGACGAGAAAATCGGTAAGATCGCGACACGTGTCCGCGAGGCAGCAGAGGAGGTCATCGGAGACAGCTCTCAGGCAGCCAGCGGGGAGGACGAGCTTTCTGAGATTGACGAAACGCGCAAGCTGCAGAAGTAGCTGACGAGGTTCCACGAAGCGGTCCGCGTTCAAGCAGACGCTGTCTTGTACGCGACACGCGATGTCGTGCCATTGCTGGCAGACGCTAGCGTGACTCAACTGACCGTCGGATCGAGCGAGCAGTGATATTATTTTCGACAGCAAGTCGTCCGAGAGCCGTTGGATTGGCGACCCAACCGGCATTTTGAGCAGCAGGAGATGGAAAGTACTAGCTGGCTCGTACTAGGAGAGACACAGCTGGCTGTTGGCAGCAGTGACCGCTAAAGATTGACAAGAGAAACCTCTGCAATGCCTGTTTAGGAGCCTACAATCCCGAGAACGAATATCTAGGGAGAGGTCTCTGATCCAGCAAGGATGTATTTGTGTATGCATTGAACCCTGCTCACGATGAGTTGGACGAAGAGTTGGATTTTGAAGGTTAGCTGCTTTGAACGCTTTAGATTGCAGAGAACGCTACAGTCATGTGAATCGTGGTGGCGTCAAATTTCGAGAGTCCATCGTGCGAGTCGCGGCCATCCATAGCCTAGTCTCGTTCAGGGAATTTCCAGTGACGAGATCTGTTCAGGGTGAACGACAGTCGCCAGCTTCGCTTTATCTCGTAGACGTGGTATACCTGCTCCGCTATGGCTCGCACTGCACCTGAGCGTGCGATTGACGAACTTTCAGATGGGATTGCAGGCAAATTTGAAAGGGAAAAGATCAGAAAGGGGCCCCGGAGTAGCAGTAAAGTGGCCGAATTGGGGCCTCGTGAGTCGCACCCCTACTACGTACCCCCAAAGCAACCAGCACACCTAGGCAGGTAGGCCGAGCCTGGCCTTTTCGCCAGGTCACCACCTACTGGCCTGGGGCTGACGGAATTCGCTAGTGACTCGTCATCGTAAATTACCCAGAAAAACAATCGTTTAACCCAGAAAAAATAACATTGCTATGGTACAAAATATAAACCCCATTCGTTTGGCATATATTTGGGGAAGCATCAACCCTAAACACCGTGCGGCAAGATGTTTAGGGCTGAGGCCATTTCGAAGGCATGACGCACGAGAAAAAAAATCGTCAAATTTTAAATGTCGAGTCAATTTTTTCGATGTCGTCAAGGAAGAAATCGTCACCTTCTGTGGTCAGGTCTGACGGAGCGCGTGGATGAGGCTCGAAACTCGTTGGGCACAGGCCCGGCCCAGGTTCGACTCCTTGCGACACACAAGGCCCCAAGTCGGCAACTTTTCTAGAGCTCTGGGGCCCCAATATGATCATTTCCCAATTTGAAAACATGAATCCCCTCGGTAACATCGCTTTCGCGAAGGCTCCAGAAGTGGGTGGTCGTGACTCGTGTCATCTCAGTTATCGCTCCAGAACAACCATTGATTGGGAGGGAGTCGTGTTGAGCTTTCGGGACGTGACAGACCTCGGCCTCGTCATCCAATAAAAACCCGCGTTCCTTGTTTGGCTGTCCTGGACTCGACACCCAATGAAACGATCCCAACCATTTCGCTGGCCTCGTTTATAACGGTTTTGTGAGTTAACTCGCATTTCATAGCGGTTCAAACGGCTGACCGTGTCTGAACAGAAGACACTGTGACGAAAATGCCGAACAAGCCTTGGAAGAAACCACACTTGGCTGGAACATCCCCCAGGTGGAAAGGGAAACCAAGGGGTGGTGGTTGCTTCCAAAGGCGGACGACGGTCTTCAGCTGCTGTTTTCGTGCTTCATGTGACCCTTCTGTGCTTCAGAGATTCTTGGACGCGACAGCTTACAAGTAGGACGAGGATTACAGCTTACAAGTGTTTGCTCAGACAGTCTGTGGTTATTTTGGGAAGCTCTCCGTAGCAGCTTCTGCTGGTTGTGCGCAGTCAGGAAGGTGCTACTGCAGCTGTCCTTGTGTGACTGAAGCTAGAAATTTGACAGCCGTAATTAGGAGATTTTTTTTTCAATTCAAAGCGCTCTTTTCGGATTCTGTTGTCGCGTAACATACACACACATAGTCGTCATGGTCCGAAGTGGGGGCTCGTTCGGGGATATCGAGTCGGGAGCTGGCGGGGCCATGAGGTCCACAGCGTATGCGTCGGAGCAGAGCAACGAGGAAGCGTTGAGTCAACTGGAGGAGAGGGCTAGACTAATCAAGGAGGTAGGAGAAAAAACGGCAAACGTTGGACATTCACGGGTAACGTGGAATTGGCGAAAAGGGATAAATGTAAAGGTTGAAAACAATAGGGCTGTTAGGTTGCTTTTCTGGGAACGAATTGGGACCTGCATATAGTTCCGCTGTGACGTATGTCTTGAAGGGATTAAGTTTGCGATGAGAGACGGAAGGCTTGCCGATTTTCTGTTTGAGTTGAGAAAGAGAAAAATGGTTAGACGTTTGAGCTTCAACGTCGTGAGAAACTATTGCCAAAGGCGAGAGAAAGGAGAGACGTTTTTCACCCTTTCTTATGTTCCCTATTAAACGGTGTGCTTCCGTCTTTTCTCAATCACTTGTCCTTGTGCCAGTTAACTAAAGACATTCATGGCGAAGTTCAATCACAAAATCGGTTCCTGGATGGCATGGTGAGTAATTAATAACTGTGATCCACATTAGGTCGCAACTGTTAATGCATACCCGCTATGCTTCTAAATTCCTCTGCCTTAACTCTCCAGTTCTGACATCGGTTTGATCGGTCTATTCCGGAACCAACTTCACTGGTCTGCTTTATTTCAGGGACTGGAAATGGACTCTGCTAGAAGGATGCTTGCTGGGACAGTGGATCGTTTCACAAAAGTAAGCTGATTCACCTCTTCCCCTTCTGTGCACCTGCTTCATTTCACAACTGCTTTCGCATCCCTTCCTATTCTGCCGTCCAGCTTTCCTTTGTATTACCGCCACCTCTCTGCTCACCGGTACCTCAGCTGTCCTCATTGTTTGGCACTCTTCTAAATTGCAGGTGTTCAGTTCTAAGCAGAATCGGGGCTTGGCAGCCGTGGTTGTGTCGTGTGTAACACTCTTTTTCATTCTATACTTCTTTACAAAGCAATGATAACACACTGCCAACTATACTTCTGTTCTGTTGTGTCATGTGTTCAGTTTTTGCGTTTTTAAGGCTATTGTAGGTTGCTACCGTATGATTGTTCTGAATAACGAAATGAAATAATTAAGGTACAAAGGCAAAAGCTTCATCAAGTTTTGCTGTGTTGATATTGAATCTAGCCACAGATAGACGTTTGGGTGGTTCTTTCTGCTTTTGTGTTTACGTCGAAAGCGTACTGAACCGCTACCAACCTCCCCGCCGACCTAAAAGTTACTAAAAAGATGGCTCACGAGGTGGTTTGCGCTTCGTAGTGGTTATAAAAATTCACAAACGGTTGAGCATGGTTTTGAGTGATCGAGAACCTCTAGAACACATTCTTGCTCACCAACCTGATCCCAAAAAGCCTGATCAGAAAAATAAGCACATTCTAGACCTAGATATCTCCTGCATTCCAGTTCTGTAGTGGAAGTTATCACCACGGTCTAGTCCTAGATTCCATCTCCAACTTTAATCAGCGCTCTTGAATCGCAGTTCTATTTTGTGATCCTTCGGGAGCTTGTTTCCTGTGGTCGCCGCGTAAGACGCCGTGCTCTGGTTTCGGCCGCGCATTTGAAGTTGTGTTCACATTGACACCAAATAACTCCTATCTCCTGCTCGATCGAGCTTGCCACCATGGTTGCACCGTTGAGACGCTTCGTTGGTTTTCTTCTAGCTGCCGTGATCGCCATTTCGTGCTGCCAACGGGGTTGTCTGGCTGTCAAATTCGAGGTCACGGCCTACTCGAAATGTTTAGGGGAGGAGATTCAGGAGGGAACCCTCGTTGTAGGAACATATTCTATAGTAAAGCACGACTCTCATGGGAACCGGCTGGACGAAACCGGCAGGGTCACAGCCAAGGTACGTCTCGGCTACTTAGGTTGGTAGAATTATATGTTATAAGTTTGTTTCCAAGGCCTCCGGTTGGATTTATACTACCCGCTTTCAATGCCGAAGGTCGGATCGCAGATCGCGTCGTTCAACACGGTCTCTCTTTTTAATTTTTGTTTGGTACGCACGTTGATCAAGTTATGTTTTTTTTATAACTCCCAGTATCTTGAATATGGCTCTGTTGTTCCCCCATTGCTAGAATCCGCTCCCTGTCTTGCCACTGCCTTTCCTCTCCTCCTGCAAAAAGGCAGTTTCTTTCGAAACTTCCGCATCTCCCCCTGCATCTCATGTATCTCCTCCTCGCCATTTGAACGAAATAGCAGTCCTTTAATCGCGGTTCCAGCATTCCGGTTTGCATAGGCATTTATTTTCCAAACTGCTAACCTTGCGTGATGGCATGGCAAGTGACGACATTGTACAGCCATCACATGCATTGGCACGACATCGTGGAAGATGGCCACTATGACAAAATCTGGACCTATGCGTATCAAAACATTTTCACCTCCGCCTTGCATAACCACATGGCAGGTGACGTCACCGTACGGGCATCAGCTGCACTGGCAGGACAGCGTGGAAGAAGGGCATTTCGGATTCACAACCAAGGAGACGGGCCAGTACATGGCCTGCTTTTGGCTACCCGTAGACCATCCGCAAGAGATCCACAGCGTCATGGTGAGGAAGCCTTGAAACGTCTAGTTTTTAGACGTGATATTCTGAGACGTCTCAAAAGTTGTGTTTGCGATCAAGGAGACGGGGCAGTAGTTGGCATCTTTCTGGCTACCCGTGGACCATCCGCAAGAGATCCACAGCGTCATGGTGAGAGAGCCAGTTGGGAAAGGCTAGGAAGGGTCAAGGCAAGGGGATGAACAATGAACGGTTAAAAGCTCTATCAATAGCACATTGACGTGTGTGCACATCACTTGGCCATGTCTACCAGAAATTGATGCCACCAACATACACATTCACTTTGCTTCACACATCTTACAGCATGATTCATCTTACACGTTCTGCTCCAACGTTCTGTGTGGTGATGCTACAGGTTGAGCTTGAATGGAAGATTGGTGTAGCAGCTAAGGACTGGGGCAAAATCGCCAAGAAGGATAAACTTGATGTGAGTCATTACGGTCTGAGAAAAATATTTTGCATTGTGCATGGCTGTTCTAGGTGCACATGGACAGATCGTTTTCTACCATGAACTTGGTCAGATTTGGAAGGGGTAATGGCTGTGAGGGTGATTGTTTTGTGCTTGACTCTTAACCTGCATGCCTATGATGTGTGTGTGTTGTAGTGGGTGTTGTTTGGCTAGATTTGAACATGCATGGTCGGCCTGTGCTCTTCCCAACCGTTCTAGATTGTTCAGTGTGATGCTATAGCCTACTTCGAAATATTTTGTCATGGTACTGTCCTCATTCTCCTTCACTCCACCCATCACCACCATGCCTGCACTGTGACGTGATCATGAAGGGCATCGCCCTGGAGCTCCGCAAATTGGATGAGGCAGTGAGGTCCATTCGGGGGGAAATGGCATACTTTCGCAAGAGGTAAGTGAATCCCTGCATAACTGAGAGTAGGAGTACCGTACTTGCGAGATGGGGAATTCGGAAAGTTCTATCTTGGGTCATATGAGGGGAGGTGGTCGTTTGCTGCATAGATTGTGATGGCAGAGGGGGCCTTGGAGTGTAATGGTGATAAGGCTTTGAATCAATCAGGGTTGCAGTGTCAGCCGTTGGTTTGCATAGATATAGCTACGTTTTCTTCCTGACAGGCCACCTTTTCTGTCTGCCTTGTCCTGCTTAAAACCTTCTGTTCCACCCACCAGAGAATCGGACATGCGTGATTTGAATGAGGTGACCAACTCAAGGGTGGCTTGGCTGAGCATCGTGTCGCTGCTGGTGTGTGTGAGCCTGGCTGCCCTGCAGCTCTGGCACCTCAAGGCCTTCTTTGAGCGCAAGAAGCTGTTGTGAGGCAGCCTACCGTAATGCTGAGATGTTTGAAAAATCTTCTGCTGGTGTCTGTGAGCCTCAAGGCCCTGTTTGAGCGCTAGAAAGCTGCTGTTAAGCAGCCAGTTGTACCGTATTAGGGAATAATGTTATTATCCTGTCAACTAGAGGAATGAATTGATAGGTTAGGCAGGATATTGTACACTGACAAGGTCTTAATATGCTACTGTACCTTCACACTTGGCCCTCCTCTTTAATTGTGCAGCAGACCTATCTCAACACTGAAAAATACCATTGTGATGCACTTTCCCTTATTTTTTCACAGGTAAATACAAGCCCCTGCTGCTCTAGCTAGCAACTGCTGCAACACATTACATAAACCAACCATACCGGTACCATGTTGCAATAAAAAAAGAAGCCTTTCATTCTGGCAATCTTGTACGTAACTCATTTTCCGCCAGTTCTCTTGCCTTTCTTCTTCCTTTTACTACCCTCGTCCTCTTCCTCCTCTCCATTCTCTTCACCATCCCAGAGTCCTGCATCCCCCTCCTCCCCATTCCCACCTCCTCCTTCATACTTCTCAATGTACTCGTTTAAGCAAGCTCCAATACGAGCCTTGAGAAGACCAATCGTGTCTGAAAGGCTAACCTTAGCAGCTTCTTGTGCTTTCTCCTCCCCTATCGCCATATCTGTCGCCGGTCCTGCTGCGTCTGCTTGAGCTGCAACCAAGGCGCTTTGAACATCTGCGGAGGTTACACTGATTGTACGTGGCTCCTCGTTTCTTAGTGACACTACTGCAGAGGCCAGCACTGACGCCATTTATGGTAACGGCGGATGGACGCGCAACTCTTAGCAGCTATCCGCCTTCCTATCCTGGACCAGGTTCACCCCTGCGAAAAACGCTTCCCGGGGTTGGGAATGAGGAGGAAGGAAAAACCTATCGTGGGCGATTCCGCAACCTTACACACCATTTAAACACATGTTTTAGTGAGTGAGTGAGATCGAAGGAAACGGAAAGTGCATGCGCGCCAATTCACCTGAGGCGAAACGACGGATCGGCGGCGAGAGAAGGTGGGCGAAGGGGGAGCTAACAAACAGTCTGGCGAGTCTGCCGTAGTTCATGTGGGAAGGGGACTGAACAGGACAGGAGTAGAAGTGAAGTGTAAACGAATTTAAATAAATTAACTATTACGCATTGTGTTGTAAAACATTCGAATTCCGGTCAATAATATAAGATTGAAGTGCTTTATGTACACTTCGTCGACCTCAGCCCACACATGTCGCATGTTCTGGAAAGCCTTATGTTGAAATAATCCGTCCGACCCAAATCTCCTCCATTTTACCTGAAGGAATATCCTCTTTCATTCTTGCCTTAGTTCTCCAACTGGGTGTGGATCCTCCCCTCCATTTCCGCCGCCCAGAACTCCCCGCATTTTCAGTCGGAACGCGGTTTGGCATTATGTCGGAGGCGAAGCGGGTGCGCTTGGGGTTCGTGGGTGAGTGATTGCGCACCGGCGTCGTCGACTCGAAATTCACCCTGTTCATTCTCTGACCGTTGCCGACTGTCGTTGACTGCCCCGAAACGCGACGTGGCGACTCGCATACGCGTCTCGTTGTGACCTGCGTGCTCGGTTCTCTGAATTTCCCGGCTTGATAGTGCTGTAATCTTACAAATTTCCCTCCACATACGCCCCCTCTCCCCCTTCTCCGCGGCAAATTCCCCCCAACGCACAGGCGCGGGGCAGATGGCGGAGGCGCTGGCGCGGGGGATGAGCGCATGAGGCTCCCCTTTCCCCTGTTCACAGGGTCCCCTCCTTCTCCCCTTTCCCCATTACACAGGCGCGGGGCAGATGGCGGAGGCGCTGGCGCGGGGGATGAGCGCCGCGGGGGTTGTAGCAGCGAGCGACATGAGCGCCATGGATCTCAGCCAGGAGCGACTGGCCGTGTTTGCCGAGATGGGGGTGGCTGCTAAGACTACGTGCAAAGAGGTATGCCGACTGATCCTTTCCCTGAGTAACCATGAGCGACATGAGCGACATGAGCGACATGAGCGACATGAGTGCCATGGACCTCAGTCACGAGTGACTGGCGGTGTTCGCTGAGATGGGGATGGCTGCTAAGACTACGTGCAAAGAGTTATGCTGCATCGTCCTCTCTTGTTATCTCGTGTTAAAATCTGTTGTTGTCCCATTCCCTCCCATCCCCTGTCCGTCCCTGTCCCTTCCCTGTCCTCTTCATCATCCCCCCTTCCAAGCGTTACATTTTCTTCCCTCTCTTCCGTCCAGCTCGCAGCAGCCAGCGATGCGATTTTTATTGCAGTGAAGCCCCACAGAGTGAAGGCCGCGCTGTCGGAACTGAGGGACAGCGCCGCCACCTTCGCTCCATTCCCTCCCTTCCTTCCTGTCTCTCCCTTTCCTCTATCCATACAGCTTGCAGCAGCCAGCGATGTGATCTTCATTGCTGTGAAGCCCCACAGAGTGAAGGCCGTGCTGTCAGAACTGAGGGACAGCGCCGCCATCACAAGCACCCACCTGGTTGTGTCCATTGCTGGCCTTCTCTCCATGCCTCTTCCCTCCTTTCCCTGTCTTCCTTCCCCCAGCTCGCAGCAGCCAGTGACGTCATATTTATGGCAGTGAAGCCCCACAGAGTGAAGGCCGTGCTGTCAGAACTGAGGGACAGCGCCGCCATCACAAGCACCCACCTGGTTGTGTCCATTGATTCCCTCCCTTCGCTCCATTCCCTCCCTTCCTTCCTGTCTCTCCCTTTCCTCTATCCATACAGCTTGCAGCAGCCAGCGATGTGATCTTCATTGCTGTGAAACCCCACACGGTGAAGGCGGTACTATCGGAACTGAGAGACAGCGCCGCCATCACAAGCACCCACCTGGTTGTGTCCATTGCTGCGGGAGTGACGATTGCGAACCTGCAGCAGTGGGCGGGTGACGAGGCGAAGATTGTTCGAGTCATGCCGAATACCCCGTGCCTCGTGGGGCAAACAGCAGCAGGTGAGAAGGATTGCTGACAGACCAACAAGCACCCACAACAAGCACCCATCACAAGCACCCACCTGGTTGTGTCCATTGCTGCGGGGGTGACGATCGCGAATCTGCAGCAGTGGGCGGGTGACGAGGCGAAGATTGTTTGAGTCATGCCGAATACCCCCTGCTTGGTGGGGCAAACAGCAGCAGGTGAGACGGAGCAAAAGAAAGTGCAGCCAGCACAGGTTCTTGCTCACGGGCACTGCTGCCAGACCTATCAGCACTGGTCCTGACTTTTGAGTCGACTCAAAAGTTTGCTCACGGCCACTGCTGCCAGACCTATCAGCACTGGTGCGGTGCGTAACATGTTCAACGCTCTTAAAACGAACCTCCCTTGGTATTCCCACTCACGACTTCTTCCAGCTTCTGTCATTTCCTTCCTTCTAACCTCTCCCCACTCTGACAACCTTCCCCAGCCATGAGCCTGGGCAGCAAGGCGACGGCAGAGGATGCAGCGCTGGTGCGGCGCATGTTTGAAGCGCCAAACCTTTCCTCTTCCTTCCACCCCTGGCATCTCCCCCATCTCGACTTCTTCCCCACCCAGCCATGAGCCTGGGAGGCAAGGCGACAGCCGAAGATGCAGCACTGGTGCGGCGCATGTTTGAAGCAGTTGGGAAGATACAGCAGGTGGAGGAGAAACTGCTGGATGCGGTCACTGGGCTCAGGTATGGCTGCTGATGCAACGATGCTCCTTCTGAATCGACTCAAGCAGGGATGCAGCGTTGGTGCGGCACATGTTTGAAGCAGTGGGGAAAATACAGCAGGTGGAGGAGAAGCTGCTTGACACCATCACTGGGCTGAGGTACGCTTGTAGGAATTCTCGGAAAGAACGCATGGCATGGCATGGTGTGGTGTGGTGTGGTGTGGTGTGGTGTGGTGTGTCACCGCTTGTACGGAGCTACGGAGCTATAGATGGTTTACGGAGCTATGTACTCACAAGGTGTTTGAAGCGGTGGGGTGAGATCCAGCAGGTGGGGAGAAGCTGTACTTAATGCTGTCTCCTGCTCTCTTCTGAACCTGCGCCTGGTTTCCTTTCTACCCCCTCCCACATCTCCCCCTCTCAGTGGCAGCGGCCCGGCATATGTGTTCATGGCCATAGAAGCACTGGCGGATGGAGGGGTGGCTGCTGGTGGCGATGTTGCCAGCCTGCCAGGCGATTTTGCTCTATTCTTCGCGCATCATCCCCCTCTTTCCCACCTCCCTCCGTCACCTTGGCCCCCGTGCTCCCCTCTCAGTGGCAGCGGCCCGGCATATGTGTTGATGGCAATAGAGGCGCTGGCGGATGGAGGGGTGGCTGCCGGCCTGCCCATTCTCACCTCTCTGTACCGCCGTCCACCCCACTCCCCTCTCCCCCTCTCAGTGGCAGCGGCCCGGCATATGTGTTCATGGCGATAGAGGCGCTGGCGGATGGAGGGGTGGCTGCTGGCCTGCCAAGAGACGTTGCTCTCTCGCTCGCCGCTCAAACCGTACGTAAATTGCCTTTTCTTTGTCGCAATAACCTTGATTTATGCAAGTGTAGGCCATGTTTTGTCGAGCTATTCAAGCAACCCTGCTGATGATACTGCAAGCAAGCCGAGGGACGTACCTCTTCCCTTCCTCTCCCTTTTATCGCACAACCCAGGTGTACGGAACTGCAAAGATGGTATTGGAAACTGGCAAGCACCCCGGCCAACTCAAAGGCTCGGTGGCCTCCCTGTTATTGTTCATGCGGGCAACCCTCTTTCCCCCCTCTCCTTTCAATTGCACAATACAGGTGTACGGATCTGCAAAGATGGTATTGGAAACGGGCAAGCACCCCGGCCAACTGAAACGCTCGGTGGCCCCCCTTTTATTGTTAATGCTGGCAACCCTCTTTCCCCCCTCTCCTTTCAATTGCACAATACAGGTGTACGGATCTGCAAAGATGGTATTGGAAACGGGCAAGCACCCCGGCCAACTCAAGGACTCAGTGGCATCTCCTGGAGGTAACACATAAGTGTTTTATACGCATACATTTGTTGTTATCTCCATGGCAACCTTGGCCCGCTATTTATGATGCCCCGTGTATTTTTTTTGCACACAGGTACAACGATTGCAGGCACTCATGCTCTAGAGAAGGGAGGATTCCGCGCCTCACAACCAAGCTTTTCCCCTCCCCCGTCTCCCGCCCCCGTTTGTTTTTCTGTGCACAGGTACAACGATTGCAGGCATTTATGCACTGGAGAAGGGAGGATTCCGAGCGACGTTGATGAACGCAGTAGTTGCAGCCACGGAAAGAAGCAAAGAGCTGTCAAAGTAGAAGCACATCGATACTGAAATATTGTTGTGACTGTTATTTTTTTATCATTATTTCAATGTAGTACATGAAGATTACTCTATATCCACATGTTGCGTAGGTTCATCCCATGACATAAAATTGAGGCAAACACTACGCCGGTGCAGCGGGTAATGTTTTATGGAACCGCAAAATCCATTTGGGGGTCTAGCAGGGTTTCGGGTTTCTAGAAAGACCTTTCACTGATACGCCAATTCAGCAAATTACCTGAAGTGATTTCCTCTGTCGTTGAAGGTTAGGTGCGTGGCATCGATCCAGGAGCGTTTCTAGGGTAGCCCTCGGGAAATTAGAGCCCTCTTTTTTCTTCTTGTTGGCCTTCTTGACTCTCCAACGTTACCTGAAGATAGAAGTTTCATTCTCTTGGTTTTAGGAATGACGGGAGTAGCATCAGAGCAAGAGGTGCAGGAGGCGGGGGAGCAACCGGTGGAAGTCTCGCGTAACGTGGAAGAAGCGGAAGCGGGGGAAAAATCAGGAGGAAGCGCGGCTCCGGTGGAAGAGGCGGAAGCGGGGGGAGAATCCGAGGGAAGCGCGGATCGGGCGGATGATGAGGGGGCTTTGTTAGGCGGTGAGGGGAAAGGAGGGGCGGAAAACGGGGAGGATGATGGGGACAAGGGGGTGGAGGAGAGGAGTGGGGAGGAGGAAGAAGTTGAGGATGCTTTAGATGGGGAAGATGCGGAAGCAGTGGCGGAAGTAGAGGCGGAAGCGGAGGCGGAAGGAGAGGCGGAAGGAGAGGCGGAAGGAGATGCGGAAGGAGAGGCGGAAGGAGAGGCGGAAGGAGAGGCGGAAGTGGAGGCGGAAGGAGAGGCGGAAGGAGAGGCGGAAGAAGAGGCGGAAGGAGAGGCGGAAGGAGAGGCGGAAGGAGATGCGGAAGGAGAGGCGGAAGGAGAGGCGGAAGGAGAGGCGGAAGTGGAGGCGGAAGGAGAGGCGGAAGCGGAGGCGGAAGAAGAGGCGGAAGGAGAGGCGGAAGCAGTGGCGGAAGGAGAGGCGGAAGAAGAGGCGGAAGAAGAGGCGGAAGGAGAGGCGGAAGGAGAGGCGGAAGCAGTGGCGGAAGCAGAGGCGGAAGGAGAGGCGGAAGAAGAGGCGGAAGCAGGGGCGGAAGGAGAGGCGGAAGAAGACGCGGAAGCAGAGGCGGAAGAAGAGGCGGAAGCAGAGGGGGACGCAGAGGCGGAAGCAGAGGGGGAAGGAGAGGACACAGGAGAGGAGGAAAGACCGAATGAAGGAGGGGAAAGCGAGGAGGAAGATGAGGAGATGGAGGGGGAAGAGGGGGAGGACGGAGCAGAAGGGGAAGAGAGAGAGGAGGAGGACGGAGAGGAGGGGGAAGAGGGAGAGGAAGAGGAGGGAGAGGAAGAGGAGAGGGAGGAGGGCGAGGAGGGAGAGGAGGAAGAGGAAGAGGAGAGGGAGGAGGGGGAGGAGGGCGAGGAGGGCGAGGAGGGCGAGGAGGGGGAGGAGGGCGAGGAGGGGGAGGAAGGGGAGGAAGAGTATATGGTACTGAGCGAGCAAGCTGTGAGGCAAAAGTAAGTAAGCCTCGTGTTGAGACGTCTCATAACAAACCTTTTATCAGGAGGGGGAGGAGGGGGAGGAGGGTGAGGAGGGTGAGGAAGGGGAGGAAGAGTATATGTTGTTGAGCGAGCAAGCAGTGAGGCAAGAATAAGTGTCGCCCGTGTGAGGGAGCAAGCAGTGAGGCAAGAATAAGTGTCGCCCGTGTGAGGGAGCAAGCAGTGAGGCAAAAGTAAGTAAGACTCGCCCGTGTGAGGGAGCAAGCAGTGAGGCAAAAGTAAGTAAGACTCGCCCGTGTGAGGGAGCAAGCAGTGAGGCAAAAGTAAGTAAGACTCGCCCGTGTGAGTGAGCAAGCAGTGAGGCAAAAGTAAGTAAGACTCGCCCGTGTGAGGGAGCAAGCAGTGAGGCAAAAGTAAGTAAGACTCGCCCGTGTGAGGGAGCAAGCAGTGAGGCAAAAGTAAGTAAGACTCGCCCTTGTGAGGGAGCAAGCAGTGAGGCAAAAGTAAGTAAGACTCGCCCGTGTGAGGGAGCAAGCAGTGAGGCAAAAGTAAGTAAGACTCGCCCGTGTGAGGGAGCAAGCAGTGAGGCAAAAGTAAGTAAGACTCGCCCGTGTGAGGGAGCAAGCAGTGAGGCAAAAGTAAGTAAGACTCGCCCGTGTGAGGGAGCAAGCAGTGAGGCAAAAGTAAGTAAGACTCGCCCGTGTGAGGGAGCAAGCAGTGAGGCAAAAGTAAGTAAGACTCGCCCGTGTGAGGGAGCAAGCAGTGAGGCAAAAGTAAGTAAGACTCGCCCGTGTGAGGGAGCAAGCAGTGAGGCAAAAGTAAGTAAGACTCGCCCGTGTGAGGGAGCAAGCAGTGAGGCAAAAGTAAGTAAGACTCGCCCGTGTGAGGGAGCAAGCAGTGAGGCAAAAGTAAGTAAGACTCGCCCGTGTGAGGGAGCAAGCAGTGAGGCAAAAGTAAGTAAGACTCGCCCGTGTGAGGGAGCAAGCAGTGAGGCAAAAGTAAGTAAGACTCGCCCGTGTGAGGGAGCAAGCAGTGAGGCAAAAGTAAGTAAGACTCGCCCGTGTGAGGGAGCAAGCAGTGAGGCAAAAGTAAGTAAGACTCGCCCGTGTGAGGGAGCAAGCAGTGAGGCAAAAGTAAGACTCGCCCGTGTGAGGGAGCAAGCAGTGAGGCAAAAGTAAGTAAGACTCGCCCGTGTGAGGGAGCAAGCAGTGAGGCAAAAGTAAGTAAGACTCGCCCGTGTGAGGGAGCAAGCAGTGAGGCAAAAGTAAGTAAGACTCGCCCGTGTGAGGGAGCAAGCAGTGAGGCAAAAGTAAGTAAGACTCGCCCGTGTGAGGGAGCAAGCAGTGAGGCAAAAGTAAGTAAGACTCGCCCGTGTGAGGGAGCAAGCAGTGAGGCAAAAGTAAGTAAGACTCGCCCGTGTGAGGGAGCAAGCAGTGAGGCAAAAGTAAGTAAGACTCGCCCGTGTGAGGGAGCAAGCAGTGAGGCAAAAGTAAGTAAGACTCGCCCGTGTGAGGGAGCAAGCAGTGAGGCAAAAGTAAGTAAGACTCGCCCGTGTGAGGGAGCAAGCAGTGAGGCAAAAGTAAGTAAGACTCGCCCGTGTGAGGGAGCAAGCAGTGAGGCAAAAGTAAGTAAGACTCGCCCGTGTGAGGGAGCAAGCAGTGAGGCAAAAGTAAGTAAGACTCGCCCGTGTGAGGGAGCAAGCAGTGAGGCAAAAGTAAGTAAGACTCGCCCGTGTGAGGGAGCAAGCAGTGAGGCAAAAGTAAGTAAGACTCGCCCGTGTGAGTGAGCAAGCAGTGAGGCAAAAGTAAGTAAGACTCGCCCGTGTGAGGGAGCAAGCAGTGAGGCAAAAGTAAGTAAGACTCGCCCGTGTGAGGGAGCAAGCAGTGAGGCAAAAGTAAGTAAGACTCGCCCGTGTGAGGGAGCAAGCAGTGAGGCAAAAGTAAGACTCGCCCGTGTGAGGGAGCAAGCAGTGAGGCAAAAGTAAGTAAGACTCGCCCGTGTGAGGGAGCAAGCAGTGAGGCAAAAGTAAGTAAGACTCGCCCGTGTGAGGGAGCAAGCAGTGAGGCAAAAGTAAGTAAGACTCGCCCGTGTGAGGGAGCAAGCAGTGAGGCAAAAGTAAGTAAGACTCGCCCGTGTGAGGGAGCAAGCAGTGAGGCAAAAGTAAGTAAGACTCGCCCGTGTGAGGGAGCAAGCAGTGAGGCAAAAGTAAGTAAGACTCGCCCGTGTGAGTGAGCAAGCAGTGAGGCAAAAGTAAGTAAGACTCGCCCGTGTGAGTGAGCAAGCAGTGAGGCAAAAGTAAGTAAGACTCGCCCGTGTGAGGGAGCAAGCAGTGAGGCAAAAGTAAGTAAGACTCGCCCGTGTGAGGGAGCAAGCAGTGAGGCAAAAGTAAGTAAGACTCGCCCGTGTGAGGGAGCAAGTGACGACGTGCCATGACCCGTGGGACCTCACATTCGTGTATCGTACCACCACACTGCCCTTCCTCCTTCCTACACTCCTCCACCCATGCTCAAAACCCCAAACCCTGAAAAATAAACAAATTTCAGGCCCATCCCAAGCTCCAAACCCTCGCGCTTGCTTTGTGCAAGATTTTGGTTAAGAGATCTTCACACTCTTACACTCTCCTGTTACCCTTCCTTCCATCCCTTCTCACGAGCTGTGCAGGAAACTAGATGACTATGCTCGTTCCTTCGCCCCCATCCCTCACGCCCTTACTTCTATCCCTTCTCACTAACTTCATCCCTTCTTTCCATTCCTTCCACCCCTTCTCACTTCATCTGCAGGAAACTTGACGACTACGCCCGCTCCTTCGCCCCCATAGTTTGGGAACCCAAAATCACCCTTCCCTCCACTTCCTCCTCCACCTTCTCCTCCTCCTCCTCCTCCTCCTCTCCCTTCTCCCTATCCTCCCTCTCCTCCTCCCTCTTTTCCCCCTCCCTTTTCTCACACTCTCGCCACAAAATCAAGCCTGCTAAAGCTAAACCGCCCCCTCAAAAACCCGGCGCTGGTGCTGACGTGGCAAGGGGCAAGACTGACGTGGCGAGGGGGAAGAGCACCGGCATCAGGGGAGTCACTGTAGCCACGACTGGGTCGGCACGGATCGTCTTGCGGGAAGCTTCCGAACTGGGCGGCATTAGAAGCACGACTGGGATTCGATTGTCTGTTATCAAACAGAAAGAGAAGGAGGGAGGGGAGGGGAAGGGAGGTAAGGGAGGGGAGGGAGGAGAGGGGAAAGGGAGCGTGGGAGGAGGAGGCGGAGGGGGAGGAAGGGGAGGTGGGGAAGGGGAAGGGGGAGGGAAGGGGAGGGAGAAGTGGGTGGAGGGGCAGTTGCAGGTGCCCCCGAAGGACCCTCACAAGCTGGCGCAGATTGCACGCAAGAACAAACCCAACACCGCCGGACCGAAATGGTGAGTTGCTCTTAGTGAGGCGCCTCATAACGAACCATCCTTCATGTAGCTATAGCCTACAGTTGCTGGTACTTCCCCCACAAAGACCCTCACAAGCTGGCACAGATTGCTCGCAAGAACAAACCCAACACCGCCGGACCCAAGTGGTGAGCTGGCCTGACTGGCTGGGTGGTGTTATGCATTGTGCACCACCCAGCTAGCTTGCAATGGTCGGACTAAGTGCGGGCTTCCTGTTTGTTGCACTCGTATCTACAGAACTCTTGTAAATCCAGTTGTCGAATGTGCGGTTTCGCTTCGCTGAATTTAAAGGCTCTTAAAAAATGCTCGTTTTTGTGACTCCCAGGTACGACCTTCCTGCACCGGATATAACTCCTGAGATCAAGACAGAGCTTCAGTTGCTGCGGGTAATGTGTTGCCTCTGTTTCTCAGTCTGTGTTTCTATCTCAGTCTCAGTTGTAAGTCACATTCCCAGTCCCAGTCTCAGTCACAATCTCAGTTTCAGTTTCAGTCTACAGCCATGCTCTAATATCTGTGTGAGTGCCTGGGATTGTGAATGCATTCTGATCGTCTCTGTCATTCTCTTGACTGTCTCTGCTCTCCGTGACTGTGCTCTGTGCTCTGTGCTGCTCTGTGCTCTGTGCTGCTCTGTGCTCCTGTGTTCAGATGAGGAACGTTCTAGATCCCAAGAGACATTATCGATCGGCAGACTCTAAGAAGCTTCCGACACACTTTCAGGTACCTGTTCTGTTTATCAAGCACCAAGAGTGCCATTTCTCTTGCCATGGCAGTGCGAATGCTTTCCCTGTCTTCTCGCTCTGGTTTCCAGTCATCTTTCGCCCTTTCCAGTCATCTTTCGCCCTTTCCAGTCATCTTTCGCCCTTTCCAGTCATCTTTCGCCCTTTCCAGTCATCTTTCGCCCTTTCCAGTCATCTTTCGCCCTTTCCAGTCATCTTTCGCCCTTTCCAGTCATCTTTCGCCCTTTCCAGTCATCTTTCGCCCTTTCCAGTCATCTTTCGCCCTTTCCAGTCATCTTTCGCCCTTTCCAGTCATCTTTCGCCCTTTCCAGTCATCTTTCGCCCTTTCCAGTCATCTTTCGCCCTTTCCAGTCATCTTTCGCCCTTTCCAGTCATCAGCATTTGCATATGAAGGTTCTTCTTCCCCCCTGAACCCCTTCCCACAACAACGCCACGCGTTCCGCCCCTTCCATTACCTCCTTCACTTGTCCTCCTCTCCTCATCACCAGATCGGCACAGTGGTGGAGGGAGCAGCAGATTTCTACAGCAGCAGGCTGACGAGGAGGGAGCGGAAGCAGAGCTGATTGTCATTCACTCGTCGTCATTTGCACTCTTCACTCGTCGTCATTTTCATGTTTCAGATCGGCACAGTGGTGGAGGGAGCAGCAGACTTCTACAGCAGCAGGCTGACACGGAGGGAGAGGAAGCACACACCCATATGCCCGCTCCCCCCCACCCCTCTACCCCCCCTGTCTTGCTCTACCCACCCACCTCGCTCCCATATGTCCCTTTTTGCCACATGTCTTGCTCAATTTCAGATAGGCACAGTGGTGGAGGGAGCAGCAGATTTCTACAGTAGCAGGCTGACGAGGAGGGAGAGGAAGCAGAGCTTTGCAGCAGAGCTGTTGCATGATGAGGACTTGAAGAAATACAGGTGAGGTTATCGCAGGGTGGTGGTGCTGCTGGTGCTGTTGCTGGTTGCTGGGAACGGGGTGCCACTGATGCTGCAGCAGAGCTGTTGAACGACGAGGACTTGAAGAAATACAGGTGAGGCAGTTGCACAGAGCTCTCAAGTTTGATCCTTTTTGCAGTTGCACAGTGCTTTCAAGTTTCAACAGACAGTAACCCTTTCTAAAGTGACAGGAACTTGGGCTCTGACCTGTGTAACCCTGTCCATCATCCCCCCAATGCTCCTCCCGTTTGACCTCCCTCCCACCCCTCGCCCCCCGCATTCCCTTTTGAGGCGCCTCAAAAGTCGCCTCAAGAGGCGCCTCAAAAATCATCCCCCCAATGCTCCTCCCGTTTGACCTCCCTCCCACCCCTCGCCCCCCGCATTCCCTTCCCCCGCCCTCCCCCATTCTCCCTTCCCCCTTGTTATGGCCGGCGCAGGAAGCGCAAGTTCCTGGAAATTGCGGAGGAGAATCAGCGCAAAGGCAGGAGGCACCTGGTGAAGAAGCAGGACAGGAAGAATCCCACGTGGGCCAGAGCAGCACCTAAGTGAGGATTCTTTAAGCTATATCATGCTTAAGAGGGGTAAGCATCTTGTGAAGAAGCAGCATAGGAAGTAGGATAGGCACCACTGTTCCCCGCATGGGCCAAAGCAGTGCCGAATTGAGATGGCTCTCTCTTTACATGATATCCATAGGATGCCTAGTGACTGGTGTTTACTCTGTGAGGAGAAGAGCAGCCACTTGGTGAAGAAGCAGGATACCGTAGGAAGAAAAGAACCCCCATGCGGCCCAGAGGAGTGCGTGCCCCATGCAATGCAAAGCATTACCCTGCATACCGTCATCGCTCGGATATAAGACATATATGTCTTATCTCGTACACTGGCAAAAATGCTTGAGTTATCTTGTAAACGGGATGGTTTAGGGTGTCTTATAAGTCTTATAAATGGAAAATTTTTTAAGTTGACTGTAACACTTGCAAAGTGTGTAGAAACCACCCAAGGACCAGATTCATTGAAACAGGCCGACCTCGGTGGTGATGCATGCAGCGCCCACACTTGCCACGTGAGGGAGCTGCCACTGCTGGCAACATTCCTCTGTGCTGGCAGCATCTAATGATGCTGCCAGCGTCGTTTTGATGTCAGCAGCGCAGGGATACTTCCAGAACGCTGCTGGCAGCGCGTTGGCAGCGTGAGGGCTGTCCTCTACGAGGAGATGCCTCGTAGAGGAGCGGCTTGGCACCTGTGGATGGGGCACTCTGGCTGGGGGGGGTAGTTGGGCTCTCACTTCATTTCGTGCTCAAGGAGGTTGAATACTCGTCTCAACCTTGCTCTCGGCAGGCTCTCTAACCATGCGCAGCAAAGTACCAGTAGGCAAGTCCTCACCTCGTCCTCACGTGCAGGTGAATAACTACGGGCGAATTAACTCGCCCGGCGATGACATCCATGTAGCCATGGCGAAGAACGCGAGCAAGGCGGGAAGTCCTACCGCCGCCTCCGGTGCGAGCTGTGACAGGGACGACGGAGACGAAGCGAACGCCGACGACACCGAGGAGGATTGGCCGAAGAACGGCCACGACGACAGCGCTTCGGGCAACGAATTAGGTCCTGCCGACATCGAGGAGGACGACTGGTAGAATCGGCCGGTCGGGAGCGACGACGAGGTGGAAGAGTGGCGGGCTGGTGATTCCGACAACGACGGAGGTGAAAATGCGCATGGTGACAACGCGGAGGCAGCGGCGGATGCACAGGAAGCGGCGGTGGATGCGAATGAGGAGGCTGACGACGAGGGGGGGGCGGAACTTGAGACAGTTGCGCCTGCGGATGCGGCCGCAATTGCGGATGCGGATGCTGTGGCGGAGTCGGACAAGGTTGCTGCGGATGCCGTCTTATTTGACGAGGAAGGCGGCGACGACGACCCATGGAGCCTTGGGACCGACGACGACGTTCCGCTACTGAAGCGGAGGCTGCGCCATCGCCTACAGTCCAAGTCGAAGCGGGCCCGCGTGGTGCTCTCTGACGACGACGGTCCGGGGGAGGAGCGTCGCCCGATACTCACCGCTGTGGAGAAGGGGAAAGCCAAGGTTGCGGAAGCCCCTGCTAAGGCCCCTGCTAAGCCCCTGCTCGTCGCCGCACAAGCAACAAGAAGCGGACATCCGACGGAGACCCGGGATCCAGCAAGGGTGCGGCTAAGAAGAAGGCGAAGAAGGCGCCGAATCCTGACGACATCGTCGTGAACGAGACGCTGGGCAGCGACGATGAGTACCCGGCGGCGGCGGGCCCGATTCCCACGTTCCCTGAGAAGGTCACGCCGAAGGACCCCACCCTCCATAATCCCAACACCCGCCCACCTTCCCCTCGCAGCAAAGACACTACGAAGAAGCGCCGCAGTTGGACCGTGCGTGAGAAGCTTAAGTGGGCGCGCCGCTATCAGGAGCTCGGCTCCTTGAAGAAGACGAGCATGGAGTCAACCGCGTCCATCGCCTGCATCAGACGCTGGTGTGCGGAGGCGGAAGCGGGTGTCTACAAGGGCGCGGCTAACTGTCGCAAGCGGATGCACGGGGGGGGGCGCCACTCACACTACCCCGACATGGAGGCAGCGTTGTACCGCTACATCTGCCTTCAGCGCGCTAACGGGGTGGCCATCTCGGTGAAGGACACCCAGAAGTGGAGCCGCGAGTGGATGAAGAAGCATTACCCCGGCAAGAACTGGAACGCGAGCTCTCACTAGAGCCAGCGTTTCCGTGACCGCTGGAACCTGGTGATGCGGGTGAAGACCAAGGTCGGCCAACGTCTGTCGGCAGCTGCGTGTTGAAGGATTTCGTGTCGCGCTATTGAATCCATGTACCTCACCCAGTGTCTAACCATCCCGTGCTTCCGTTGCGCTTGTCCCGTTTGCAGAGTGCGCGAAGGACTGCGAGTCCTTCTGGAAGTTCAAGCGCATCAACAGGGCGCTGTCAAACTATGATAATGAGTGTGCTGTGTAGGCTGTAGTGGGGTAGCCCATAAGGGGTACAACCCAAATTAGGGTCAGCATATGTACCCACATCTCTGTTCAATGCACTCATTCCTGCTGCTAGATTCTAACATGGTATCAGAGCACTAGGTCCGTAGGACCGTTTTTTTTCGGGCCCACCTACCGTTGCGGTTACCACGCTAACCCACGTGCGCCTGCCTGCCTGCCTGCCTCGCCTTGTGACGTGGTGCGCTGCGCGCGCCGTCCTGCAGCCCTCGCGCTGCCTACTGCTGCCCTAGGCCAGCGCGCCGTCCCTGCAGGCCCGTACGACCCGCAAGCCGCCCCTGCAAGCCCGTCAGGCCCGCTAGCCGTCCCTGCAGGCCCGTCAGGCCCGCGAGCCGCCCCTGCAGGCCCGTCAGGCCAGAGCGCCGCCCCTGCAGGCCCGTCAGGCCTGCTAGCCGCCCCTGCAGGCCCGTCAGGCCCGCTAGCCGCCCCTGCAGGCCCGTCAGGCCCGCTAGCCGCCCCTGCAGGCCCGTCAGGCCCGCTAGCCGCCCCTGCAGGCCCATCAGGCCCGCTAGCCGCCCCTGCAGGCCCGTCAGGCCCGCTAGCCGCCCCTGCAGGCCCATCAGGCCAGCGAGCCGCCCCAGCAGGCCCGTCAGGCCAGGTCGCTGCCCCACGCGACGCGCCCGCTGCCCGCGCGCCGCGCTGCAGCCCCGCGCGTCGCGTCCGCAGCCCGCGCGTCGCACTGCAGCCCCGCGCGTCGCGTCCGCTGCCCGCGTGTCGCGCTGCAGCCCTGCGCGTCGCGCCCGCTGCCTGCGCGTCGCGCTGCAGCCCCGCGCGTCGCGTTCGCTGCCCGCGCGCCGCGTTTAGGGTTTAGTGCGTCGCGCTGCAGCCCTGCGCGCCGCGCTCGCAGCACGCGCAGCGCGCTGCAGCCTAGCGCGCCGCGGCTGCCCCTGTTCCTCGCGGCTGCCCCTGGACGCCGCCCCTGCCTGACTGCCACCGTCGCTCCTGCAGCAGCTGCCACGGAGTGCCCTACTACAGTCGCGGCCCTGCCCTGCGGCAGCTGCCGCGGAGCCTCTTGCCGCCGTCGCGGCCCTGCCCTGCAGCAGCTGTCGTGGAGCCTTCTGCCGCAGTCGCGGCCCCACCCTACAGCAGCTGCCGCGGAGCCTCCTGCCGCGGTCGCGGCCTCGCCGTGCAGCAGCTGCCGCGGAGCCTTCTGCCGCCGTTGCGGCCCCGCCCTGCAGCTGTCACGGCCCCACCCTGCAGCAGCTGTCGCGGACCTGCCCTACCGCCGACGCGGCCCTACTCTGCGGCCGCTGTTGCGGCCCCGCCGAGCGCCGGCCCTGCCTGCCACTGGTGAGCACCTACCTTGTTCGTGCGATGCCGCCTGCCTGCCTGCCTGCCTCCTGCCTGCCTGCGTGCCTGCCGGCCTGCCTGCCTGCCGCGCCTGCCTTGCACGCACTGCTGCTGCTACTACTGCTATTGCTACTGCTACTGCTACTGCTGCTACTGACAGTGGCCAGATGCAGCTCCAGCGATGTCCGCGTGAGTCCCTCACGCCCCAGCAGCTTAGTGAGTGGTACGCTAGTTGGGGTTGTAGGGGTGGCCGCGCTGCTACTGCTGCAGCTGCTGCTACTGCTGTTACTGCTGCTACTGCTGCTACTACTACTATTGCTGCTACTGGCGGTGGCCAGATGCAGCTCGAGCGACGTCCGCGCGAGTCTCGCACGCCCCAGCAGCTTCGTGAGTGGTACGCTCAGAGTAGAGGGTATCTGAGTACCGTTCGCTGCCCGTACGTCATTCGCACTGGTGCTCGGACTAGTCAGGCTTGCGGGACGCTCAGACACACACAGTCCTGCTGCTTCGCCCGTCTGAGCGACGCCTGGCGTACCGAGTTTGGCGACGAGGCTGAGCTCCCCGACTGGGTGGAACTGCTTGGGCAGAGGGTAGATATATTTGCTCTTGACTATGATCCTATTCTCATTGCCATTTATGCATTGCCTACTAGTGCTGACCGTGCCTGTTACCTGTGCGTACCGCCTGACCCAGGTATAGAGCTTGCTGCTCTAGGTGCTGGTGAGGCTGCTGCTCTAGGGACTAGTGTGTCTCCTGCTCTAGGTACTGGTGAGGTTGCTGCTCCAGGTGCTGGTGAGTCTGCTCTCTCTGGTACTGCGCCTGCTCAGGCCTTGTACACCTTTACACTTGACTCTGGTGCTTCTCGCTCCTTCTTTCGCGACAGCACCACCCTCACGCCGCTCAGTCGGCCGGTTCCAGTCTCCCTGGCAGACCCCTCTGGGGGTCCAGTCCGTGTGACCTCCTCCACTGTCCTCCCTTGTCCTGCTGTCCCGTCCGGCACACTGTCTGTTCTTTACCTCCCCTCGTTCTCTACGAACTTTGTGGCGGGTTCTGCGCTCCAGGACGCAGGTGTTCACCAGTTCACCCCCGCCTACGAGCGTGTGACACACTGCACGTGTGCTCAGACGGGTCGTCACCTGGCTACCTTCACTCGGCAGCCGGGGTCGGGCTTGTACACACTGACCACTGAGTCCCCTCAGGTAGCAGCGTCTGCGTCTGTGTCAGGTCAGTTGTCGGCCCCCTG